TCCAATGAAATAACTAATATAGCAATTTTAGTTACGTTCAGATTCATATGAAAAAACGCCCCGCCGTGGTGGTCTGGTGGCTAAGGTACTCGGCTGCTGACCCGCAGGTCGCGGGCTCGAATCCCAGCTGCGGCGGCTGCATTTCCGATGGAGGCGGAAATGTTGTAGGCCCGTGTGCTCAGATTTGGGTGCACGTTAAAGAACCCCAGGTGGTCGAAATTTCCGGAGCCCTCCACTACGGCGTCTCTCATAATCATATGGTGGTTTTGGGACGTTAAACCCCACATATCAATCAATCAGATTCATATTAATTTTCTGAAACCAGGTTTTCATATTGCCAAATAAAACTGTAAAGTCGAATGTAGTGATTGAATATCACAGTCAGATGCAAAAAACGCAATAGCATCTGCATATACGTATACTTGTACCTTATCACTCGGTGGTATTGAACTTAACAAAATAGTAAATAGCACTGCGATAGAACAGAGCCTTGAGGAACACCTCTCGTTTGGCTATACTTCGATGTGGAAACACCTCGTGTGGAGCAAAAAAAATTTCTGTGTTTTAAAAATTCGTAAATCCAATTTGTTATGTACTGTGGGAACGTTAGGTCTTTTAGGGCATTGATAAGAATAGCACGTTCAACACTATCATATGCTTTATACGAGCCTCTAAATAAACGTGCGCTCACTATATAGAGTAACATAGTCTAAATCCAATCTCGCACACACTGACTGTTGCATTACCTGTTATGAACTGCAAATTCTAATGTAAAGTCTTCTTTCTGTTAACTTAACCAAATGTAATGTTAAAGCGATTGGCCTAATGTTATCTATTTGCATATAGTCCCTGTTTTTTAAAGAAGCGGTATTATTTTTGCAAGTCTCCAGTCCGGAGGTATCCAACTATTTTCAAGTGAATGGTTGAAAACCTTAAGGAGGTCTTCAGGAGAGATGTCGAATAATATTTTTAACATTCCTGCAGTGACGCCATCTGTGTTTGGCAAAATGACGAATGACGTGCGCAAGTTCATCCTACTTAATTCAATAAAATCATTTCCGAATGAAAGTTTTACAAATTTTATTTGAATTGGTGGTGTAAATCTCTTCTCTAATCCTAATGAGATTTCAGTTAATCTATCTTCCCACTCCTTTGGAGAGAAAATAACTGAGTCAATATTTACGGGTGCTGCAATAGCTTTACGATTACGGAGAAATCTGAATAGAGCTTTCTTGTTGCCGCTCTTGGATAGATAGCTATACCGTTTTTCTTCATAGTCGTCTTTCGCTAATGAAACTGTTCTCTTAAACGTAGCTTTAGTAAATAAATAATTTCTCCAATTAGTAGGACATTGGTTGGTAAGGAGTTTTCTTCATGCAGCTCTGCGGCGTCTATAATCTCTAGCACAATCCATATTCCACCAGGCAGATATGAATTTTCTTTTCGTTGAATATAGAGTGAACTGTGATTTTTTAATTGTACGCTTTAGAGTGGAACAAAGGCTCATAGCTTTTAATTTGATTATATACTGGGCAAGGAAGACAACGTTGGCTGTATATTCTTTTTAAATTTAGAGTAGCTTACAAAACTTTGCACCTGGTGATCTGCCGTCACTAAAGAAATGCCGACTTCAATTACCAAGGGGCAGTGATCAACTTGTAGCGGTATGCTGACCGATGATTTTCCAAGACAATATTGTCACATTTGAGCTAGCACATGTCTAATCTAAGACGGACCTCGAATTACATCGAACGAATGTCGGAACTCTGGAGTTCCAACAAATAAGGTTATTCCGATTAGTCCAGTCCCACAACCGTTTTCTAGATGAATAAGTGCGGAATCCTCGCGACACGTGATGGGAATTGAAGTCTCCCGCAAATAGTATACTGTTTCTGCAAAAACTCACGGTCACATCAAGGGTTCTTTCATCTTGTATTCCAGCTGGAAAGTAGTTGACTGTAGATAGTGGCGCACATCCAGGAAAGTGAATTTCCAGAACCAATACTTCCTAATTGTGCGATATTCGTTTGTAAACTAAGTGTGCTTTATGGCAAATTTTGGATGAAATGAAAAAAAAAAATCAATCCTCCATCACGCGAGTCTGTGTCCAGTCGAAAGCAGCACTGATAATTTTTTAGACAGAAGTTTTAATCAGCAGACAGCCAAGTTTCTTGTAGCATTATGACGTCTAGAGATTGTTGAGAAATTAGGTATAATAAGTCTGTAGTTGCAGAGAGAATTGAACGGCAGTTCCACTGAAGTACTTTAAGGCACCCTATGATGATAAAAAAGCAGTATACCAACCGCTTGATCTAAAATACTGTCTTTTAAGAAGTCCGCTTTTCTCCTAGGTTCCTTCAGACTCTTTTTTGTTTTTGGATGAGGAGAATTATTACATTTGCTAGGTGATCTGGTACGTTTCAAAAGGCGAGCATTTATATCTACATCCCGACTGCTTATTGATTCTGAATCAGATATACCTTCCTGCTCAGTTGTGTTAGATCGGGAAGGCCTTGCTTCATTATCGATAGATGCATCTGTCTGATGTTCGGCAGGCTTATTGATTGAAGCACTGGGATGTTGGATACGCTTAGTTATTCGATCAGATACGCCCGACATCTGTGAATCCATAATGTTATTGAGTGAGTCGGACAGATTAAGTAAAAATTTTTCTAACTATTTTTTCTACGGCCTTTTCCACCATAGCTGAAATAGACTGAGAAAGTGATGCATCCATAGGAAGAGGTGGACGAGCTGCTATGCGGGCATAACCCTGATTCCAGCTTTGCATTTCTGCAATTGCTTCTCTACGAGAGTATCGTCTCCTTTCAATGATTTCAATCACCTGAAGTTCATTTGATCTGGCAGGACAGTTAGGATCGTCTGCAGTGGGATTTGCCTTGCACTAACAGCATGTCTTATTGCCCGATTGGCACTCAGCAGTACTATGACCAGCCCCGTACGTGGCCCCGCATATGCGGCATCGAGTGTTCAATCCACCACCTTTAGTACTTTGTCCAAAGCGCCGGCATTTAGAACATTGCAACGGACGGGGAGCTAAAGCTTCGACCATATAGATAAGCGGCCATGCCTTGATCTCCGAAGGGCGATCCGTTCCGGCGATTGTGGCCATTACAGTTTCAGTGGGAATTTCCTGTTTGTTTTCCTGTTTGGTACAGCGGTAAACAGAAATAACAACCGCTGGGGAAAAGATGTCCAAGTCTTCTGTTGGGCTTAGACTTGCTTCTACCTCCCGAACCAATCCTTTGCAACAAGCTAGATGAGGTGGGATAAAATAGCTCACCGGATGTGATGCAAACGTTGTGCACTTCAGAAGGTCTTGGATACAAGCCTTATCTGGTGAGCAGCATAGTATCCCCCCGCGTCCAAACTGACGAACCTCTGTTATCACTAGGGAATGGGGAGTGATCGCATGAAGTTCCATTTGGATTGTCTTGGGATTCTTCGTACGGATGAACCCACCAGTGGTCGGCACCAAAGCGGCATGAACGCTACGGGTTTTATTGCGGAGAAACAACACCAAGGGCAGATCTTGAGGGGGAATAGAGGCTGACCAGAGGGTAGGCCTCTGGCCCGGAGAAGAAACAGACATGAAATAAGATGAAATTACACTTAGCAATGCACTCAAAAACAGTTGCGGAACAACAGGTAGATCTAATAAAATAAGAGTAACCACCGGCTATTTGACCGCCACCCTGAAAATGGAACAAGGAACGTTGTCACCTGCGAAGCAGTCGTTCGATTCTCGTTACTGGAGTGGAAAGACCTTCACCTACATGCCCGGTTTTAGACTTGGCCCCAGTAGTACCATCGTCAACGAGTACTAATAAAGCACTGAATGATTCGCCCTCCCCAGGTTTTACTAACCCATTCCTACATTCTGCGATCGCCATTTTCCAGCTTGTTTTTATAAAATCCGCTGCCATGGCTTCGACTAATCTGTCGCAGACCTTGTAGTGAGAATTTCCGTGTAATTTTCCTATCTGTGTAGAAGTGAAAACATAAGCCTGTAATGTTTGTGTGTCGAAAAAGACGCCAGGCCTTTTTACTCGATCATCTTTAGCGGATAAACTCCAAAAATAATCAAGAATGCTATGTCACGCTGATAACGCACATGTCGTTGGTGACCTGAAAGGGCTGGGCATGCGGCGATAATGCGAAGAAAGGTCCGCAAGACACATGACGATTATTTTTGTGGGACAAGGAAGCACCCTTCTTACTCGATCATTTCTTAGATGGAACACGTGCACTAAAAGAATAAGGGCGCTTTTTGTCCCTCAACGCTGACAAAACATGAAGTATTTGGGCAGTATTTCTGCCACACAAGAATGATCGTCATCTACTTCGTGTACTTTCGACGCGTTATTACCATGGTTCCGGCAGTTCGCGGTCACGAACGGCACATACGTTACTTGTGTGACATAAGAATCTTGAGAATAATGTGGCGAGCATCGGGTTTCCAAGAAAAGAAACACGAGCACGTCAGATGTTACAGGACTACTCCACGAATAATCTTTTTTTTTTTAGTGTTGCGTTTCTTTCCTTGCACTATCGTAGCATGCCCGGCACTTTCAGGTCACAAACGACTTAAATCAGCGTCACATGTCTTTCTTTATAGGAAAGTGACAGGCGCCGAGTTTTCAAAAAAAAAAAAAAAAGAGGCGCAATAAAGCCGGATGATGATTATCGTTGTGGGACAAGACACACCCTTTTTGTTTGTTCGTTTATTAGGGCGTAGTGCGTCATAAAGACGCTCTAAATAGTGTAAGCACAGAACGCCTATACATACACTAACGCATGCACCTACTAGAAAGTGATCGTTTCGTCCACTTTCGTTTCTCCTCACCTTCAAATAGAACGCAGCCCGGCTCTTCTGTTATAATTTCTCTGACTCTGTCATCTACCACATTTGTATATTTTACTATCATACAAAATAAATATCTTTCCCCGCGACTAGACACTCTCCACAACGGCACGGCCGCATCGCCATCGCAAGGCGCCAAGCGTGGCTCTAATGTGGTGTTTGTTTACGTCAAATTACGTGGTTTACGTTGTACATACAATAGTAGTATACAGGTGTTGTGTGGTTGTACAGCCTGCAGAGCGCGTTACAAAGGTTTTGGTTTCTTTGTGAATGTATACGAGGCTAAACTTGCGTTAAGTCAGTGTTTCAGTGTTGGTGTCAACAAACGCGTTTAATCAAATGGGCCGAACGGCTAGCGATCCCGAGCGTCTGCGCAGCGGCGTTGAGCAGGTTTTGAAAGCAGGAAACTACTCTGAAAACGATGTACAGGAGCTTCTCAAGAAGGTACCGAAACGATGGCAGAGACACGGAGACCTTGTGATCCTTAGGCGAGGCGCTTTCGACGATTCCCGCTGGGACCATGTCCGTAAGTCTGCAGTAACGCATATATCACAGATGTGAAGCTTGTAGCGCTTGCTATGGTTAGTCATTGCATTTAAAAAGTAATAATTTACGCCACAGTTGGATCTTCTCGTGGCGTAACGGTTTGTGCGTGCAGTCGAAGGAGATAATTAAATATGGTCGCGGTTTTACGCCCTAGGTCGTGATACGATTTTTAGCAAGGCCGTAGTGGAGGGTTCCAGAAATTGCGGCCATGTGGCGTTTGTTTATCTTGCACCTGAGGTGTAGTACGTGAATATCTAGCGTTCCACCTCCGTCGAAACGCGGCCGGGATTCGATCCCGCGACCTTCTAGTCTGCAGTCGAGCGCCGTAAGCCCTAAACCACCACGGCGGGTTGCTTTAGATAGAGAAGACGGTAACAAAACACCCTATACGTGTAATGTGGTGACAAGTGTAGGCTCGGGGCTGGCAGTTGGCCTCACACAAACGTGAATAGTATCAAACGACGCTCACAAATAAGAGTGACAGAACTTGACCCACACCTACCACAAGATGGCCGAGTATTGCTAACTTTTAAATGATAGGTGTAGTGACAGTTGTGGAGTCGCATGCTTTTTGCCTACATAATAGAAGACATCAGTGACACACGAGCTCGAAGGTGCTACAAGTACGGCAGGCTGCTTCACTGTCTTGTATGCAAAGCTATGCCTACGAACTTTAAAATGGTGTACCAGTGAATACACAGAAACACGTACATACGAATAAGGCATCACACGTAGACGAATGCTGGACTTCCAACCTTGCTTTATAGGAAATTGCATTGTCGCACAAGAATTCTCAGGCAAGGTCATTGCTGTCACTTCCCACAACACTTGGCACTTCAAACTCAAAGATATTTTTCCACAAGGTGGGTACACCCTTCTCAGAGATAAGGATCTATTTCTGACATGATTAATATAATGATTTACAACGTGAAACACATCTAAAATCTTCGGCTCGAATTTCGTCTTTCCCGTATGCAAAATGGTCATGCGATCGAACTACAGCTTACTAGATTTGCATTTCAAGCAACTGCGGCAGAGAACATCCAAACTGCTTCGCATGTCCCCGCTCAAATATTTATTACATTGTTGTGTGGTCGCATCAGCACCTCCATAGTATAGTAAGCAGTCCGCATAACAGAATTGTTCAGATAAAAAAAAGCATGTCTTGTTTTCCCAAACACGTGCATTGATGTTTGACAACACATTTTATTTCTTCACAATCACCTTTCATCCTGTATTGCTGTATCGTCTGGGGATGCTCGAAAATCGTTGCAGATTCATTTTTAATTGTTAATGATAATGCAAAGTATGTCATAAACAGATTGTCAAGCTTCTTGAAAAACAGTCGCAACAAAAAATATTATATGCCCGACATCATGTGTCGCATGCATCTTGTTTCTCATTACACCATACGATTTCAGCTTATTGCTCCTCATTTAAACATGAAGCTAATGAGAGTTGGTAACAGCGGAATGTTCATTTGGCCTGCAGGGGTCCAACTGTGGGATGTGATTTGTGATGCCCTCCGTTGCAAGAGGCTGGCACTGGCGGGAAGGATCGCGGACGACGGGCACCGAACTCCCCGGGTTGAGTTGGTGCGCGGACACGATGGCTGGGTCGTGCACGTCGACAACAAGATCAAGTGTGTACCAGCAACCTCCATATATATATATTTTTTACGTTTTGTTTGAAAGCTTGTCTTGTACCAGATCCGTTGAGTCGGTTGTCATGTTTAGAGGTGACAAACGATTTTTCTCACATTAGTAAATCACTCTTTCCCGAATTCAAAATCATGTTTGCCGTGCGAAGACTATTGGAAAGCGAGAAAACACATGAAAAGGAAATGCGGGTGGCCGTCACATTCAAATTCTTGCACCAAATGTTGTGTTGTCGTAGACTGTGATTGCATCTACAAAGTCCTACATAGCATCTAGTCGGTAAAAATGAATTATTGTCCTCTGTCATGGCTACAGACTTCACTTACCAAGATTCTGTAAGTTTGGTTAAACCAATGTCATCAAAATAGCAAGAATAAACTCTGAAATCCGTGACTATACATTTCTATCGACGAAATTGGGCAATAAAAGCTCGACCTTGATTTCCTCCTCTATGAATGAAAATATGTTCACAAAATTAACAAATTTGCATTCTCGCATTTCAATTTATCAATCTAAACCAGCTGATTATTTCACATGCTATGCAAAATGAGGGGCTATGCATCTATTTCTGATGCATCATTGTAGGTAGTGCAAACCTTTACCAAGAAAAAATAAAAAGAGGGCCAAGAGCAGCCTTTTCAAATAAAAACTCTTTGTGAGATGCACATGCATATATACTGTATGCCGAGCAAGTGCCACCCTCACTTTTTCGAAAAGGAGATCCGAAATAAGCAATAATGACCGAGCAAACGCCCCCCTCTTCCTCTTTTCATCAGCGGCCACACACGCGGGCTTAACTTTTGTGTCTGGCTCTGAGGAATTGTCTGACAGTGGCTAGGGGAAGTAAAATGAGTAAATAAATAAAGCATTTCATCAGAATCAGAGATGAGCATTTTTTATTTTTAGTGGCTCTCGGGGTACCATCTTGAATTTCTGTCCATGGCCGAGCAAGGCCCCCCTCCCATAATTAATCTGGTCGGATAATGCTTCACCATCCGAGGGGTGCTTGCTTGGCATTTTATGGTATGCAGAAAATAAAATAAAAACAACAAGCTAAAGTGCCAAGCTAACAATTATTCATCCATTTGTATCTTTCTCACTACCTTCAATGATGCATCGTTACCTACTAACGCGACCACATATCTGCTTTTTAGGCATGTTGAACTACGTTAGGCTGGGCTAGACTACTCTAGATCAGGCTCTTTTATCTAGTTCTGCTTGCTGTAAATTGCAATGTTCTCATCTGACATAACAGTATTATCACTCTGTGTATAGCAGGCGTTAGCCAGTTCCTTTAGCTTGATACTTGCGGAAGTTCATTTTGTGTGCCTACAGACAGGTGTGTGTTTTTGTCTTGTGCCGATGCAGGTACACTTTTGACATCACTAAGTGCATGTTCAGTGCGGGAAATGTCACGGAGAAGCTCCGGGTATCCAACATGGACTGCCGAGGCGAGATCGTCGTGGACCTCTTTGCTGGTACCTTGATTATAGTCTACTACAAGAGTAGTTATACTGTCACCTTAAGGTATCAAAGTAGTCATGCTCAAATCTTGCTGTGATAGTGTAACGGTCATATGGGTAACTAGTTCCCCATTGGCCTTCCTAGCATTTTTACTCATGCAGGTGTAGTTTTTAATGTCCCTTAAGGCTTTGCTACTCAATGAAGATTAAGAAGTCTTTCCTGGAAATAAATAAAAGTAAAGTCAAAATCTATTCATCCACTTGACTGCCAAATTTTCATCTCTGTAACTTGGGAAATCTAATGTAGTTGAATGACAGTGAATGACATTAACTCATAATTTGACCATATTTTACTGTCACACTACAATCCTTAATGACCTTCAATGAAAGTGATGTTTGCAATAAAATGAGTTCATGTGTATAAAAAAAAAGTTTGTTTAATTACGAAGAAAAAATAACTGCACTGTCCCCACCCGTCATGTTGCTGGCCACTTTGTTTCTTTTGGCACTTCGCTTGGTTTATATGGTATAGCTCAGACCAGTTCTGTGGAATGGCCAATGCCGTACTTATTTTGCACAATAGCCATGCATATGCCGCATTTTTCGTCATCCCGTGACTTCGTTCTCACTGCGATCATGGCGCCACTCCCTTGTTATTTCCCCATGATCCGAGTTCGAAAAGCCTGAAAGGAAACGGAACGCGCATAAACAGTCCCCTGTGAAATGCCTGCAAGACAAGATGGCCAGTAGTTTGTTGTTGGTGGATAAGAGCCTTAGCCAAGCTTTTAAAAAATATCCCGGGCCAGCCCCCCTCCTGTACTCTCCGCCTATGGTCGTCGCGATGGAGACATGCCATCAGGCATCAACATGGCTGTGTCCATGTCAAACGGTGCTATAGCCGCGAAACACCTATAGAAATTGTACAAGCCATATATCACTATATATATAGCCACATATATACCACTGCACAATAAGCACTACTTCTATAAAGACACGTTTCACTTTCAAATTATACCTATTCCTATGACAGAGGGATCAACATGTCTTTCTATTCTTTTAATCTTTTAAACTGTGGCACGTGGACTGACACCTCTGCGTCTCCCGCCATGCGGTGGCATCTGATCCCTGGTGTGCCCCGCATTCTTTTTTTTCTCTTTCAAATCGTCAGTGGAACAGTCTTCTACATCATGAGTGGAACAGAAGGAGGTCACTTTTTTTTGCCCATGTCAAGGGCAGTTTTCAATTTGAAAGAATATGCAAAAGCATTGGCGATTGAAAATAAGCTTAAACTTTTGATATATGTGTAGCACGAGCGCTAAATTGTGCATACGAATAGCTTGCCAGTGTATCACCAGTACAAGCATGGCGAGTGGCTGTGTTGGCTAGCGCAGCGTGCTGCGGAGCCAGAGGTCACTGGTTCGAATCCCGGGTATGGCCCTTTGGAATTTTTCCTACTAATATATTTTTCTTTATGGCTTTTCTACATAGATATATAAGTACACATACATATACGGGGCATGACGGTGATGGCAAAAATCAGCCGGGGGTGTCAATATAACTGCTATCACAACAAAGTAATTTTTTGGCACACCGTAGGGCCACTGGTATGCCAATGTGGCTTCACGACAGTGCTCAAGTGCTGTGCATGAAAGCTAGCTTTGCAGAAATACGCAGGGATCATTTTTGGAAAGGCTTCACAACCTAAACTAGTTTTCGATTCACGGTTGACGCCCCCCCAACTTCGGATTCCAAATTCAGACAAAATGTGTCGAGCTACAATTATGTAAGTACAGTAGTCAATAGCCAAACATCGGCAGTATTTTTTTTTCTTTCTGTCGTAACCCCAGGCATTGGTTACTTCACCCTGCCATACCTTCTGCACGCGGGAGCAGCGCACGTGCATGCCTGCGAATGGAACCCCGATGCCCTTGAGGCTCTGCACAGGAACCTACAACTGAATGGGGTGCAGGACCGGTGTACCGTCCATGCCGGTGATTGCCGAGAGGTGAGACGACACCAACTGTATACGGTGATCACTGCATATACATATGCAGTAATTACTGCATATATAGAATAAGGTTTTGTTAATTTGAAGTGGGGATTAAGTTTTGTGCCAAATTTCTTTCTGAATGATGCTCATGCCCAGTGCCCATACGTTTCTGTGGGCCCCCACACTTATTCTTTGTGTCCCAAAATCAGCCTTCACCGAATAATTTTGACTAGAGTAGTCAGCACACATGCTTCATGCCAATGGTGACACCGAAAAGCTGCAGCCTCTGTCTTGACAGTGCGTAGTGAAATGAAAAGTGTACCGAATACATATCATACTTGGTAAAGCCAATTGCAATAGATGGGTCAAAAAAGTGAGACAGATGGTGCGAGAGCTACTAAGGACTACGAAAATTTATTTCAACACACCCGCACGTACTTTTAAAATATGTGCATGAGCATGAGAACATCGGTGACCAGCAACAAAAACTCAAGACAGGCTGTCCCGTCTGTCTCACTTTTCTGTACTGCACGTTGCGCTTTACCTTACCCAGTATGCATCACCAACTGGCTCAAACTTGCGGTTTTCTAAAATGCACATGATATCTGGTTCAAAACACCTGTTTTCGCCACCTTCAGAACGATTTTCCAGAAGAAATGGTCGCCCAGATCGACCTAATAGAGCAATTATTCAAAAAGAAGACACTGCATCTTTCTCAAGAAAATGGGTCGGGAAATTCTATGCAGGGTGCATTTGTACATGAAATCTAAACTACACTTTGTAGGTTCACAACAGCAAAGAGCAAGCCTAGCTAGAGTGATTGCTGCTCTCACCGCGATATATTGTTTCTTACGTAGCATGGTGGCCAAATGTTAATTTCACTCTGTGGGAGCTCACTTAGAACAGAGAGAGAGAGAGCTTTTATTGAAGTGCTGATAATTTAGCCGGCATGTGTGTGTCGCTGACTTGCTACTCTACGTGGGGAAGGAGATTGGGGACTACGGCAGAAGAGAGAGAGAAAATATTAAGAATTAAAATGGAAAAAAAAGTAAATATTCAGACATTTTTTTGTCTCTTGGGCGGGGACGTGTGCTTACAGCATGACTTCAGTTTTCAAGGAGCCCCTACAGTTTGTCTAGCTGACCGATATTGTCTAAATATGCGAATAAATGTTAAATCGCTTGCCTCTGTTGCGTGAAGCTGGGGAAAGGGCCCAGCACACAATCAAGTGATAAAGTTCTTTGGGTTAACAGATGCATGCAGTGTTCACAGAGTGCATGCTCATCGGCATACGCTCGGCACTCAAACAAGATATGTTTTACAGTTTCTATGGAGCCACAGTTATTGCAGTCTGGACTGTCTACTTAACTGAAGCGATACAGTAAATTGTTTCCATAAGCAGTGTTCAGCCGGAGACGGTGGTAGAGAGTTTCCAGGTGTCGAGGGATTCGGGATGGGAGTCTAGTCCTTAGATGTGGGTCGATAGAGTGGAGAAAAGAATAATGATGTGTCGGGAGGTTTCATAGCCTCTTCTTTTCTTCGGAAGCAAGCCTTTTAGTCAGCTGAGAAGCATCTGATTTAGTGAAACAGGTTCACCTGTAATTTTGCTTTTGAAGTCCTTTGTGGGCCGGTTCATCTGCTTTTTCATTGGCCAGTACACCGCAATGAGCCGGTATCCATTGGAATGTGATAGCGTGACTCGCGATAATAGCCAAGTGGTGTAAGTATGCTATATCAAATGAAATAGGGTGATAATTTGTTTTCTTTAAGAGGCTGAATAGTATTTGTAGAGCTCCCTTAGAGTCGGTGAAGATCACCCATCGGTTCGGCATTTGACGCAGGATGTAGAGGACTGCTTCTTTAATTTCATGAAGTTCTGGTGTCGTTGATGATGTCCTGCCTTGTAGCCAATAGGATAGATTTTGTCCTGTAGAGGGAACATAGAGGCCATATGACGAGATCTCCTGAGTAGTTGAGGCATCAGCATAAATATGAGAACACTGAGTGTAATGCTGGGCTAAGTAGAAGAGAGTAGTCTGCAGCAGTGCGGCCTGTGCAATACGTCTTTTCGCTTCATTAATTCCTGGGACACACTGTTTTATATCAAGAGGTGAAAGCATCTACGGAGGAAATCTTGGAGGCATCAACTTCTTCGGCTGTCTGATAGCAGTGAGTTGCTGCATTTGCACAGCTTGGCCGAATGCTGAATTACTGTGGGTTAAATGTATGCGGTACAGAAAATGCTAGATGACATCTAGCGGAAGACATCCTGCTTCCGCTACAGTTCCTGAGCCTGATAAGCTCTTCAGAAGGCCTAGACAGATTCTTAGGCAATTGTTTTGTGCAGCTTCTAAAGTTCTCTTGTTTGTTAGTGATCATCGGTGAAGCACCGATAGGCAATAAAGCAAGGTTCCTTCAATATACGCTTCCTCAAGCAGGACCATTGATCGGCACTTGCATCCCCATCGTGTTCCCGCCATGAATTTGAAGAGTTGTGATGCTGCAGCTATTCTCGCTCGAAGTTTTTTCACCTGAGGAGACCGGGAAAGACTTCTGTCGATGACTATTCCAAGAAATGGCTGAGACCGTACATAGGTCAGTGGCCGGCCACCGAGGAGAAGCGGATACTTGGTCATTTTCTTTCTCGTGAATGCCATGGCTGTGCTCTTTTTTGGAGAAAAGTGCATATCCGGGAAGCCAAATACAGGAAGAGGTTCTGTAAAGCTTTTTGAATGTTTGGTAAGAAAACGCGAACTTGAAGCACTCCAGATACAGATATCGTCGGCGTAAATTGTGATGTGCACTCCTCGCGGCAATATCCTTGTTATATGTATCAGGGTGATGTTGAAAAGGAGTGTACTAAGCACTGCACCTTGGGGTACGCCCTTCTCTACTTCGCAGAATTGTGTGGGACCGTTTGGATCTTCCGTTCTTTTAAATAGCTCTCAATCCATTTATACAGTCTTCCTCCAAAGCCAAGACTGACCATGGCTGCAAGAATGGCATGGTGAAAGACAGTCAAAAGCTGCTTTGATGTCGAGAAAGATAGCTATTGGAATGCGTCCAGCGAAGAGGTCCTCTTCAAGTGAATAGACGAGGGTGATGACATTATCGATAGCTGATCTGCTTTGACGGAATCCGTTCATTTCTTGAGGAAATTTGTCGTGGTTTTCTAAAAACCAAGTCATTCGTTTATGAACCATCTGATCCATAAGCTTGCCAACGCAACTCAGCAGGATAATGGGTCGAAAGAGGCGTAGCTTGTTGGCTGCTTTGAAGGTTTCAAAATGGGCACTATTTTAGCGAGTTTCCATTCTGCGGGAACCTCGCCAGACAGCCATGAAAAATTATAATATTCTAGGAGTCGTAGGCGGGAGGTGTGGGATAAGTTTGCAATGCTTCATAGCTTATTTCATCATGACCGGGTGATGTTTGCCTGTTTGATTCGCTGATTGTGGTGTTCAGTTCTTCAATTGTGAATGGCAAATCCAATGCTGGCACTGTCTCTCGTGAGAATTCAGACTTGTTGTTTGCGAAAGAGCTCCAGGGTATTCAAGTTGATGATAACAGTGTGCGGTATCCTTCTGACAGCGCTTTCAGGGGTTTCCGTTCGTGAAGGGAAAGTGCGATGAAAGGGTGAAGCTGTTGAAGTGGTGTTCGCATACCGGTTGATAAACGTGCAGTGTGGAGCAAAAGTTGCCCCATCACTGGCAGCTATGTTTATCAGGTAACGCGGGATGTGACGTTGTGCCTGTCGGCAGGCTCGAAGGTCTTCAAGACACTTTGTGCGCAATGCTTTCCTTTCAGCTCGCCTGCGAATGGCACACAGTTTTTCAAACTCCTCGTCTATTGACGGAAATCTGTCATTCTTAGCTGAAAGACGTGTGCATGCTTTTAGGCAATGAGACATCGTGGTGAGTAATTCTTCGTCCTTGCTGGCAGCAGTAATTCCTTTGCTAGCGGCGTCTTTGAATGCATCCCAATCAGTAGATCTTGTAATTATTTTTCTTTGATGACATCTTCGCACCAACAGCTGATATCACGATTGGGTAGTGATCACTCCCCCATGTTTCCTAGTCAGTGCACCTGTGAAAGTTACGGGCAACTGAGCTTGTTGCGAAGGTGACGTCGATGCTACTGGTAGTCGAGAAGTCTGGTAGATATGTGATGCTGCCGTCATTCAGAGGTTCAATGGAATGTTTTTTGATGGTTCGTTCCACTTTGGTGGTTTCCCTTGTGCTTGCTTCAACGTGCGTGTGAGTGTAGCAGCCTTTTTTTTTATGCATCCTCCATATGAGGCTGGGTGTGGGCCACTGCAGTTTGCAAATTTAGGTAGTGCTCTTGACGTGCATTCCTTGTGCGAGTGAAGCCCAGCACACAATTTGCAGCGCACCGAGCCTGTGCAGTGTCTCGATATGTGCCCATGCCTTTGACACTTGTAACACTGTGTAGCTGCCCCAAGGTATTCGGCAACCGGGTAACTACAGAAGCTTTAGAAGAAAAGTTACTTTGCACGTAAAGAAGAAAAGTTACTTTACGTGCAAAGCTTGCTGCAAACACGTGACATTGTGTGAAGCTGTTGCTCGTCTATATTAGCATATAATGAATATATGCATGTTGCCAGTGTCACTTTAAATTCTCATAGTAGTGAACTCAAAGCAGATGAGCGACTCCACAAGCGAGGACTTGTCTCTGTTGTTGCAGTTTAGCTATACAGTTAAAACCAGATTTATTCAACCTGAAAGGGATCACCAAAATGTTCTATATACAGGCAATTCAGTGGATAATATATTTTCTATAGGAAAAATATATTAATGTGCATTTTCCAGCTATGTGATGCACACAATAATTACCTACATGTGGTTTCCACTGTCTTAAAAGCAGCCACGGAAAAGCTGTTGTTTTGTTCTCGTGCCACAGGTCTGTCCCGAAGGAGCTGCCGATCGAGTTAACCTGGGCCTGATCCCGTCGTCTGCCATAGGCTGGAAGACAGCATGTAGAGCGCTCAACCCTCAGCGCAAGAGGTGCTGGATGCATGTCCACGAAAACATCGAATCGAAGCCCGATGCAAAAAGATTGATGTCTGAGCAGCTAGAAGAGCGCGTCCGTCAAGTTTGCACCTCCATGGCAGACTTGATGAAATACTGTTATCCGAGCTGCAGCTGGCAGATTACATGTACCCATGTTGAGCACGTCAAGTCGTATGCACCCCATGTTGAACATGTGGTGATGGACCTGCGGTTCGATCAGTTGGCAAAAACGTGAACGTCGTTCAGACGGATTGTACTTCAAAGAACGGCCCTTCTTCAAATGTGTGCATACTGGCTAGCCCTTAAAGCAATTTGCTTCAAGGGCTTTATGATGTTTAATGTTGCTCGCGTCAAATAAGATTAATGTTAATATTAGCTCACTGCAGACATCTTTTCAAGTGAGGGAGGTGACAAAAGAGCTTGGTGCGAGCAAATATGTTTGTCACGCTCAGACTTGTGTGGTGCTCTTCTTGTAAATAATAAACTTTAAATAACCCTCATGCTTGAACTTTATCCTGCATAATTTTGTCCTGTGCCTGTGGGACTGACCCGTGGAATTGTATAAACAGACCCTGCTGAGAGCCATCCATCCTCGCGTGGTGGTAAACCCCAAAAGGAGACTTGCATCTGTTCCCTATGCACTTGCCTAACTTCTCTCGTGCCAGGTGGCGCTGCTGGCGCCGCCATCGCATTTACAGCGTTCTCTCTTATTTGATGGTGAAACCAGCTACGCTAAGACTGGACGCGTGTTCAATGTGGCAAAATTGACCTTGCAGAAGAAGGGGGGCGAAGCATCGTCACAATACTTTAGATCTTCAAGTGGCACCCTCTTGTGCCCTATATTAGCAGGACTGCAGCTTGTATATATAGCGCTGCATGCTTGCTCACTGTGTGACGCAGCTTATCTGCCCTGATTGAGTCACTAAAGCATTAGGCTATAGCTGTTTGTAGAAAACAGACTGCAAAGCAGTAATAGATTTACATGCACTGTGTAACAAACATGGGTTGCAACTAGTTAGCCATGAACCAAAGGTTATACTGTTTTGTGTATTCGTGTTTTATCAAGAAAATGTCGCTTAGATAGAGATCTGGCACTGCATTAAACATTTTAAGGTTCTTACCACTGTCGTGAGGAATAAGAGTAGTGTCCAACTCTGCCACTATTGCTATACTGTTTCGATTAATAGGCGTGAAGCCATCCAGTGTCCGAGCTGCTATCCACTCAAAGGCCATGTCTGCACTGGTTGTGGCACTCTATTGTAGTGTACACTTTCTAGAGGCAGTGCATTATTTCCTGACATGGTTGTGATACCGCTTCCTTGTTGTGAACATGAATGTTTACACTACTTCCTAACTTTAATGGTTGCATGCATCCCTCATTGCAGCATTACCCGAGAATGTTGCCTCCATAAAGGGTTTTCCACATTAGCTTTGTTTTGGTAGATTCATGTTCGTCAATATATGCAGCTCTCTGCAACAGCTTTGATGACTGCCGATAATGCAGCTCAACACATAGCTGTAGCTGGGAAGGTCTGTGCAAGTGAATTGTGCCACTGTTGCAGCTTTTAGGTGATGCTCTGAGTGCAAACCCAGTAAGAAAAAGTGAATGTGTTCAATCGATCATATCAGTTCCTAGCAATTGGAAACCAGCTGGGACGTGGTCCTTCAATGTGGAGGTCGAGCAGCAATTCCTGTTTGTAGCGTTCACACTGCTGCTTTTACAGAACCATCGATGACATTACGGTTCCAGGTAAGCATGCAGGGAGATTTGTAAGCTCGGTGTGCAACATGCCACTACTTTTGGTGTGACCGATCGACTTACTTCTTGTTAGGGCAGTTAAGATACACATTATCTGCAGCAAATTCCATCAAGTTGTTTTCGCCAGAGAAGTGCAAGTGGGTGAAGCAATCGGTGTGCTCTGCGATACTGTGGCGCCCTCTCTTGCGCGGCGCAGGAGTTCGCCGCTCATGACTGAGGCATGTTTAGCGATTTTACCTTATTGCAATCACATCTGAGTAGTTTCTGTTCATTATATCATTTCATGCTTTGTTTGGTTAGATTAATCCAGTTTAGAGCATTGCTAGCAGTGTTTTAGTCCTTTATCTACCACTAAATTGCGAGCGTGACCAAGCCACGAGATTTATAAATGGAAGACGGGCCAGATACCTTAGAGTGCTATGCACTTGAAACATGCTTCGCTTTGTCTGGGAAAAACCACAAAGGCATTTGCTTGTGTGTGTTTCTGTGGTGAGGTGTTAAACATACCAGTGGACTAGAAAAAAGCTATTGGACTAACTGTAAAACCTTGCAGGCATTCCTTCCCTTGACATTCTTTTGCATAGGGTTTTCAGGACAGTGTGATCGCCAACACAGCAATCGGTAGGTGTGATGTTTTCTTCCAAGGGCCTGAAATTCACTTAATTTACAGTTTAAAGAACTGAGATTTTGTGAGAGAACGTGCAAAAAAATTTGAGTGACTACATTCAGTATTCTTCAAAGGGGCTATACGGTAACCACCGAGTGTTTAGATTATGGAGATTAATTTTTCAAAACCGCAATTTTGGTGATCTTATCGTAAAGGTTGACTATACCAGAATATGAAATAACTGAAGTTACTGTTTAAGAAGGTTTGTGTTCAAACAGTGCTAACTTGTCAATGTGAAGCCATAAGTTTAAAAGTTAGGTGACGGTGTTGTATTTGGGCCTTGAAGCAGTAAAAGGTGCTATAGTTGCCTAAAATCGGTTTTTGGCTTCTTATATGATACAACTTAGTTTTAGCTTTACTTTTTCCCTGCAACACTTTTTGAGCATGGTCAGAAAACGCTGCAGATCGGTAGTCGCGGGTCAAATAATGTAACACGGGATCAAATATTGTAGTGTAAGCAAGGGACCTGGAATTCACAATCAATTCTCAAAGTCAGCTAAAAATCACTTTCTCCTCTCCTGACAAATGATGCTACAGGCGCAAAATCACTACGTCCCAGGCCTAGTATCAGCCATTGGCTGTTTTGAGCGCGGCGCGCTTCGACATTTTTGGGGCCACCACGGGAGGCCATGACATGTCTATGCGTGCGTGCGAGATTGAACTAAACAACCGTGCATTCGAAAAGAAGAGAGAGGAAGTGCTCAAGGTCACGAGGTGCGTGTGACATATTTTCTTTTCCCGTGCCATCCTTCCCTGCATAGCTTCCAGCGCTTACATTGGGACGAGAGTAGAGAGAAAGCAATTGCAGCGTACGACGAATCTTTGTAACTTCACTCGAACTGGACAAATCTTTGTAACTTCACTCGAACTGGACAAATTTTGAAAACTTTTGTGATGGTGAATTCATGCGGCAATAAACTCCTTAAGTGAATACCTTCTATGGCTACTTGTGTTGCAGGGCCCCTTTAAGATTTCGCTAAGTTAAAAGTGCTCAAACCTACGATGCCACAGAAAATTGGTTACCTAGGAAGGAGTGGCAATTACTGCGATTTACAAATACGCATGAAAAACAATGTGAAAAAGAAAGAAAAGAAAAAATACTTGGGACAGGTCGGAGCGAAGGCTGTCTTGCCAAAAATCTTTTTTTGTTGTTATATTCATACACTAGGTTTTTTCTATGGTAGAAAATATGTCCCAGCAAATGCATCAGCACAACTTGTCAATCTTCTTGTCAACTACTCCGATAGATAATTTACTCATGGTCACATAATTTGAGTGTAAAGTGGCTTATCTTTGCTCACGTGCCTGTTTAATCAAACTAAACATGGTAATTAAATGCTCCCTTTCAATTAGCAGCCTTGTGACCTTTTGAGCCACCTTTGAAAAGCTTGGTTTAGGTGTTGCAACGTGATAGAAATATTTACCTTATAAAAAACCTACTTCGTCACTCGGCAGTCAGTTTATTTTCTGTAGTCGTAAATAATGATCTGCCCTTGTCAAAGTTCAGTGATGTGATGCTATTGATGAAGAGTATGACGTGTAGTTGCTCAATCCTCATTTTGGGCACCTACCACTACTACAATGGGCTTCAACCGATGTGGAATGGGGGATTATTACATTTATATGCGTCCCACCAAAAATGAGGGATAGCTTTGTCACTTGTTACGAGTGGCCTTCTTTCTTCGTCAAAGAAGTCGCCGAAGGGCTGCCGGCCTGTTGTTGACCGTGTATTGTCCTTACTAGTCGGAAAGCGAGGCGCCGTGCCGTCAGTTGCCGTGAAAAATTCCACAAGATGACCACAATAGTTTCTGCGAACGCAACATCTTCCTCGGAACAGACAGCGGCGGAAGCCGCAACTAGCCCCGCTAATTGAGCAAGCAGCTCGGCGGACCCTTTTGAGCTTTGTTGCGGCGGCCCTTTAGATGTGTGCTGTCGTGAGCTTGGGACCTCTTACCCAGCATCACTCACACAAGAAGGAATAGCCACACTGGTGCCACTTTGCAGTGCAGTGACCTCGCCCTAAAAGTGGATGTTTACCTGGGCGGGTGTGGGAGTCGACCTTTCAAGTTTTATGAGACACGAGATTGGACAGAGCAACCTGCATGCGTTCCCCGATCTAGGGTTCTGGGGAGAACGTACCCTCTATAATGAGCCACCCGGCTCATTCGAAGGAAGCTTGCCATGTAGAGAAGACCGGCATGTACAGAATGTAAATAAACCCTCTGTTTAGTTCACCTTCCTCCTGCCTCGGCATCTTCATCCCAGATCTCCAGTGCCTGCAAAGGTCGGTCGCAACACACTACTGACATAGCACGCTACGTGATCAGTTATGGATGACCAACACACCCGACTTCACACTCTTGTCTCTGCCGATACACTTGTGAACAGATACACATCCACACAGAAGATAAATTTTGGCAAAGCATCTTTTATTGTTTTGTTCACTTAGCACTATGGCCGGCATCGGTTCATTGCACTGGAATGCATACATGTTGTTGACTCCACAAAGACGCAGCAACAATCTGTGACTAATGCTGGACGCAAGCTGTGACGTGTGCGGACGGCCATGCAACAATTTGCTGCATCACCGAGAAAAAACTGCGTTCAACAAGATCAGCTGCGCGGAGAAACACTCGTCAACTTTGTTAATGGACAGATGCATCTTAGCCTAAGCACTTGGCTGTTTCCACAGTGAGAGAAAGAAAAAAAAAACGTTTTTTTTTCTTTTGGCAACACGCTCTTGGCAACGTGCAAAGGTGCAATGTGTCTAGCTTGGGGTAGCCAAGTGTCTTCAAAGTTGAGTCTAGAGTTGTGAAGCCAGGCTCTGGCTTAAATTTTATGCACAACACCGTCCAATGGGAACACTGGGTCCACAATGCGTACAGAATGAATCACTGCAGAGAACAAGCAGTGAAATAGCTGAGTCGGCAAATATATTAGTAAATGCATTTGGTAAAGACCAGACAGCTAAACCTCTGTACAAGGAATATTCAGATATAACAAATTTTCTTATATAACATAATGAATAAAGCACTTTCTTGCCAATATGAACATGTTGAACATGATAGAATTACTGCATGGGATGTCGTTTGACAATTGTGAGGTTTGCAGTTTTGCCAATGAGGTGCACACAATGTGAAGTGCAAGCTGGAATGATGACAAACAATAACATGGCGAATCGAAACGGTAATGCACTAATACACTGCTATCTACACGTGGAAATCTCACAACTTCACACGGCAGCACGAGATCTGAAAAAAATGTGACCTTCGTTACGGGGCATCGGTTAGGTTAACTCGATGACGGCTGATATTTTCTGTTGCATTTAACGAGCAAGTACGAGAGGTTTCACACACACGCACATGCAGCGTTTTATGAGTTGTCTGGTATCTACGGCTGTGTCTGGTTAACCAACTTTATTTCAAAATATTGGGCCTAGCGTACGAGACGAGCTCCATTCTAAACCGGCAAAGACTAAAACGTATAAGAGGGCTTCACATTACACAACATACGTGGCAAAATTCACCCACAGCATCAACACCACATTGCACACGAATACCTTTAACACTAAATTCTGCTTAGTTACGATGAGGCTACACAGTAGGCTAAAGCAAGAAGGGAATTGCGCCTGGATTCGGAACGTAGGACTCCAGAAGTTATAACATAACCTGACATCACAAAAGAACGATTTCAGAACAGCCAGTAGAAAATGCGAATCATACTAAGCATCAAATGACAAGAAAAAAGAAAATTATGAAACGAGCAGCGAAATACAAGCTGCTTTTACCAAGAAACACCACTGTGGTCACTTAGCGATACACCAACATTCATTCGCACGTTTATACTGCTCTGGCAATGCTAAAATTCAGCGTGGAATGAAGTGCGATTCCTTTTCGGATGATTTCTTGAAAGGATAGTGTCAGTATGTGTGGGCGATTGCGCCACAGCTGTTAAACACAACAACGAAGAATCAGCGCCACTAGGAATGCTCCGCAAACATTGCTGCAGCGACTAATTCACTCTCTACATCACGTCTACGCATCCTTTAACAACTTTTCTATAAGAACCCTTGGAATTCAACAGGCACTTTTCTATGAGCAATGTCAAATGCGCAATTTAGATTTTCACCAATAACCAAGCAGACATGCCCATTTCGTTAACTTTCCCGCAGCACCTTTGAAGCCCCGCATACAATTTTTTTGTACACCGAGTTCGATACCTTAACCATCAGATTTAAAGCTTTAAAGTAACAGTTATAAGCAATATTTGATACACTGGAGTGGGATTCTAGTTGACAGTATTTTAATGAACCAATTACTTGCAAATTAATATGCTTGAAAAGTTTACCCATACATTATATTACTTCTCTTATATGAAGTAATAAAATGGCCACCTGGCCTAGTTCGACAAGCACTTAAATCTAGCTGCATAAGCAGTGTATCTGCATCAAGAGGTGGCGGCTTCGGCCCGGAATCGAAACCATGACCTTCGTGCATCACGGCAGGACACCACAGCTACTGACCAAGTGCGGTGGGCTGGCTCTGCTTAACCGCTTGGATTTTTAGATTTCCTCTTTTCCCCTAAATTAATCCGTCTCGCACATCGAAGTGGCAAGTAACAAGCACCTTTCCTGGCTGTCAAAACTCAACAGCATGGCACACTCTGTTTGCAAGTCGTCTTTCACGCAGACGACTGGTGCGGAGGGTACGCAACTGTGCCTGGACAGAGAGCTAAGTTGCTGCGTTGCGATCCAGGGCAACCGCACAGTGAGCTTTACATGGACGCAAGGGGATATTTGTCTGGCCAGCGTCAGGCTTCTGGGGAAACCCGCACTATGGCACCGTTGAAAGTTAACATTGAGTGATGGCATCTATAACAGGTGATCTGCCCTTTCAAATACAAGTAAAGGCATGGTTTTTACGGGTTAACAAGAAGCGTTTCTTTTTATATCTATGTAGTTTTACGGAACAACTGATGGAGAATGGCCCTAGGGCATTTTTTCTCCATGAAATGCATGTACAAAAACAAAAAAAAAGCATTGCATAAAGTTTTTATGTATCTCACTTATGACTAATGATGGTTGGCATGAATGTGAATAAAGTAAAGACTCGGCAATTACAATTACAATAAGTCAGTCGATGGTCTGGAGGCTTCGTGTACTTCTTGTCCATATTGGGTCAGATTGCCAGTTTCTCAGACAAGTTATGGTGACAAACTACAAAAAGAATGCAAGATCAGACCAACAAATTTTCGTCCAATGTCTGTAAATATGTGCAGAGTCAAACACGGAGCAGCAGGTTGTTTTGGAATTAGTTTTGGCAACAGGTGCTTGTTAAATTTTTAATGGAGCCTTTTCCAGTTAATACATATATGAAGCTGGCAGGGAACACAGAATTGTTGAAAGAGGCAACTGTACCGGAATCGCAACTTGGACCAATACAGAAACCACAAGACCAGACAAACTTTGGCTTTACATTCAATGGCTACGAAGGTAGCCCATCAGCTTGACAAGTACTAGTACTGATGATAAGATGTACAAAATGCTACCGTGGTTCTCCGAGCTGTTTCTGTCAAAATTCTGTGTTCTGTCAAAGTAGCTGCAAGCTCTTTAATGAAGTCAGCCTCGACATGAACTGCCTTCCTTCTGTCTTGAGCTTTTAAGTGTAAATATATTGCAGCATATTTTTGCCCATCTCAAGTTTGCTTGTGTAAGGAGCAGAAATAAGTGTTCTACATATGAAAATCCGAAGTGAAAAAATGCACGGTAAAAATGCTTAATGAAGTCAACACACACTGTTGTGAACAAGAGCTAAGCAGCACCACAATTCAAGACTTGCTATTTAACTTCAGAATGCATCTCAAGTGACCTACACCTCAGACTTTATCAGTGACATGCGACAGTTGAGCCAGTTTCCGTAATGTTCAGTGGCATGAATTTTTCAAAATCTAAATGATGAACCCACAGTGTTATGACAAAGATATCTATTAGAGACTCACTGCCCCAGCCTACTGACAAGGTAGACTGGTGATGGGGTCTAGCTATACAATAACTTAACACGGTCTTTCGACTATTCGCAAGCATTTTAAGTCAATTTGCATTGTCGGAAACGATGTGGCACAGTTGTCAGCTTACCTTAACAATGGACTTGTCAATGTGCCATGGCAAATGCTAACTGCAGGAAAGCACGTTGACAAACAGATGCCTTGGCGATAATGAAGAGGGCATTTGCGTACGAATATAACGGCTCGAAAAAGTCGAGTGAATGGTATTACTGAAAGCTTCCGCATTTCAAAAGGACCGACAAACATCTCTTATGGTTTCATTCTTTAGCGGAACAGAAAGCTTACCTGTCAGTGACTCTAATCGCAGAATGGCAAAGTGGAAAATGTCGCAAAACACTTCGCTATGGATAGAATTTTTCTCTATATAGCGAATGTGATGTCGTATACTCACATGCTGCAAACAGTGTGAGCGAGAGTGGTTTGTGTTCGAGCGTGGCGGTTTACTGCGCATGCGTGCATTCTGTATGCCTGCGCCGTGGCTCAATTTTGTTCACTGGCCGCCGTGACGGCACCGCAGCTTTTCAACATGCATTTTTTGCATCGTAAGCAGCACAAAATTGAGTGGAGCTGGACAATACTACACATACTATAATTTCAAGGATTTCATACAAGGGCGCATGACTGAATCAGGCTACGTGACTACACACAGCAAAGTGATCGACTCCATATTTCAAAATCCAGCTTCAATTTTTTTTTCCGCCAGGCTACGTCACTAGATGGTTCCTGTTAATCGTAAGTATGACTTCAAAATATAAGTCTTACTAACAATGCGAAGAGAATGCTGGAATCTGTGCCTATATTTCATGGCCTTTTCATTTCTACTAGGATCTAATCGCACCTTCTGGGAAGTTGTCAGTCCCTTCAACGGCTTCTAAATAGTGAAAATTTGGAGCAGTGAAACGCTTCCGATGCACCTGACATACCACCTTTTGCCTGACTACTTGTGTTAAAAAATTTGATCCACGAGACTCGGCCCACGGATCGAAACGAGGAACAAAACCTGAGAAAAAACAAATACGACTACCTACTGCTACTCAATTATATCTACGACCAAACGCAGTGCAACACAGATACCCCGCAACGGATGCTGCTAGCTAGAAGATTGATTGCTGTCATGGCTGGAAGTCTAAACTCGCGGGGGATGCGATGTTCGGTCTGCCTACCGAATACGCAGCTGTCGAAGCATGGGATGCTAACGAAAGCTTAAAGGGGAACACGAGTAGAGAAACCAGAGTAAAAATGCGCGCAGCATGCTACTGATGCAGATGCTGACCTAGTCACTTCTCGGCAGTCTCCTATGAGTGACGTGCTCTGTCGCATTTTCAACCTTTTGCTTGAGCTGTTGATGACGGACGACGTGATGCTCTTCAAAGCCCTCTGGTACAGCGGCACGAAAAGCTAATCTCTGGCCCCTTCAAGCAAAAATTGACTCACTCACCAAGAGATGAGCTGCCAAACAGGATCAGGTGATGATGAGCTTCCCTCCTTACTATCATGCCTCTCAATTCGTTACTTATCATTATCATGCCTCTCATGAGGATGCTGCAATGCCTAGATCAAGCATCTTTCTAATGAACCCAAACAAGACGTGAGTTGCCTTATTCACTATGTTGTGGCAGCAGCATTGAAATGTAAGCAGAGGGGAGGGGGAGGTGAACTTGCAAAAAAGTTATGCAAGCAGCCGAGTTCGGGGCCTATTCCCACCAGCTGTTGTGGCCACTAGGCTCTTCCACATCAGACGTTTGGAGTAGCGTAACAGCCAATTGACATTAAGGTTTTATACATGTGATACAGTCAGTTTTTGACTGCATGTCTCATTTGTTGCTTTCGGCAGATGTGTTGCCGAACGATCGAGGCAATTGTCCGGGTTTGTGTGAGTTAAAAAGCTAAGTTTTATGTACACATACCATTCCGATCAGCAGCTGTGCACTTTGGGAATAGACCCCTCAGGAACAGCTACAGGTCAGTGGGGAGGAGGCAATAGAACAAGAAGCACCTAGGAGGAGAAAGGTCGTGGCTGGATTAATGTTAGGGCAGAAATGCAAGTAATGTCACACAAACAAACAAAAACAACAAATAAACAAAAGTAACAAATCAACAAACAAAAACAAAGGATTGACGGTAGGACAGAGAAGTGTAGAGAGAAAAGAATAGAAGTGGCATGTGGTTAAGAATTTCGAGTATGATCAATATGTGTTTGCTATGGCGACAACTGCAACTGCAAGAGAGAGACAGTTGCTTTTCTAACCACCAAGTGGCAACAGCATAACAGCTTCAAGACTTGCCTGATGAACTGACCGACTTATTGGTCAATTGATACGCGAGTTTTTTCTTTGTTTTATGTCATGAAACGCCACTAGCGTTTTGAGAGCCATTCTTGAAATGAATGGCTTTGAATTCCTTCTGACCGTCACCTAAGGGCGGGGTTTGTGACCATATCTGGCCACGCCCAGCACTCTGTGAAATAAAAATTTCTCCTCCCAGGTGTTCCTCAACTCCACAAGGAGGATGCAAGCAAACATCGTAGCTTGCTTTCTCAAGATGCGGCCTTGGCTCCCGCCAGCGTGGCTTGCTCTAGACTGCTGTAAGGGCAGTGGTAATTCTGGGGGGGAAGAGGAGTGTTGCTGACGCCGTAGCTCCGGGCCTGCCGTCGTTTGATGCGCCACAGAGGACGGACTTCAAAGACGCCTGGCTCACGTCGGCTCACTCGTGCCAGCAGTCATCAGGTGCCTTTGTCATGGCCGCCTGTGTCGTAAACACAAATGCTCAAAGGGATGGGGTTAACAAAACAAAGCAATGATAAAATGTACATTTGTCCTGTCTAGGAGGCTGGCAAAAAGACGCAAATGCCTGATGGTGCTGTACACTTACTGATGGAAAAAATACTGCCCGTAAATTCAGTGTCTGAGGATTGCTGAACAGTTATTTAAACAATTATCTCAATTATATGAACCAACTTGAGAGAAAAGTGCTGCTTCACCGTCGCTCTTGGCTGCAACGCGTCGATAAAACCTTGAGATATGCAACCATTAACCACCGCCATCAATGCCTGCCCATCTTCATTGCGGTAGCAGGTTAGCAGCAAAATAAGGAGTGCTGGACGTCCATGGGTCCAGCCATTACAACCGTCACTGTGGAGCATGCACAACGAGGCTGACTCAAGCAAACCCTCTCCACTTACAACCACTTTAAAAAACACCCATGTTCACCTATAATCTACACTAAAACACAATCTTTCTTCACCTGCAATGTTGTCACAATGTTGACACAATGTTGTGAATATGGCCTCAATGTTTAATATGTTGCTTTAACGGTATGGCAACAATGCGTGCTAATAAAGCTACACTACCTTCTGCCCTCTCCTTGCAGGCATGCATGCTGATGGCACAAACAATACCTATTCGAGGTGCACAGTTAGGCTTACACTCACATGATGTAGCGTACAGGTCACTGGGAACTGTATACTAAGAGGCTATCTTTATGAAACCTTGTATTATTCAAACAAATTTCCAGACACTCTGGTATTTGAATTACTGGGGTTATATACTGCACTACAATTGCAATAGCCCCTCGGTAATGGTGGTACTATATACGAGGACCATTGCCAAACTTGGACCGTTCGTCACTCACTTGGTAGTAGAGCTGGTTTTCTCTGTTGAAGCCACTTCCTGGCTAGTGTCCCCTTCTGCAGAAACAGAAGAAACAGGACATTCAAAGGCACCGCCGACCGAATGAGGTGTAGCCTTGCTGGAGCAGGTTTGCAATGTCTCGCTGTCGCTTGCCATGGTAGCTTAACAGCCGCACTGTCATGCTCCTATGCGAGAGGTCGTAAGCTCCATTCTAGGCCATGGCAGCAACATTTTGAAGGGTGTGAAATGCACACCCGTGTACTTAGATTTAGGGAGCATGTTCACCAACATGCGGTCACAGAAGTTAATTCATAGTCCACATGATGACGTGCATCATAAACGAATTGTAGTAATAGCAGTTGCAGTGTAGTACGTAAAGTGCCAGAATTAAACACCTTTAGCAGAATAATCTTCCAATTTTTGTCACTGACTGTGCTCAATTTGTCCTGATTAGACAAAATAACTTATCCTCGTTTTCTGCCTTTAATAGCTGATTATGTGGCTCTTGTACCTTGGTTGCTGTAACTCTCAAATTTATTTTTTATTGTGATAACAGTCAGATAAACAACACAAGAAAATATTCAAAGTTGCCATGATGTTCTGTACGTATGTATACGTGTGTGTCGCATTACCTACATAGATGCTAGGAAGCTCGCCACCCAGGTCAGGCTTAATGGTGTTAACCGAACTGTTTCTAAAACAATCAATAATCTCGAGTTGCAAGCAAGTAACAAAACACTTCATTTGTAACATGCCTTTTATCTGAAATGTTATCGGATAGTTAAGAACAAATGATTGTGCTTTGCCTTCACACAGTCATTGCTTAGTTATGGATGCATATTTTCAAGTAACATGAACCACAAACTTGGCCCATCAGTTATATGAACTGCGAGGGACTTGAAGGAATGGATCTGTTAATGTACCTTGTGATGATGGGTTTGTGAAAGAAAAATTATGGGTGATCACTTGGCAGTGACCTTGGAATGGTTCCTTGCTCTAGATGTTGAAGTGGTCTAAAATGACTGGGCCTTTGTTCAAGAGATAGGAAAACAGATAAAGTAGACAGAAAAATTAAAAAATAAAAACGCCACTGACCTGATGAGTTGAGCTGCTTGCTGACGACTGGCTGAACAGGCGTGGCAGTGGACTGAAATGAGTCGCGTCTGTGTCAGCGCTTCTCTTTGATGTAACGAACCAATTCACTCATGACTAAAAACGTAACAACGGGCAATGCATGCAACAACCCTTTTTTTGTGACTATTGCTCATTAAACATGCCATAGAAAGCCGCACAAGATGCAAAAGAATTTCGAGGGATTTCTCGCTGTCCACAGATCTCAATAAAAATATGATCTTTGCCATTTTGTTTATGCAGCAATGATACAACTACAAGTCCATTGGCTTCCTTAGATAGGAGTGTTAAAGATTCGTTGTACGCTCCCAAGTCGCACCCGTGAATCCATGACTTTTTATGGGCCACCCTGGGTTAGTGACATTCTACGAGGTCCGCCCGCGCTACATGCGACTAGATTACACCACCCACTTAGTTTTTCTGGTGCTCGCACCATATGTATTGCGTTTGCATTACGGATGTGGGCTGCGTCGTCGTCGAAGAGTTTGGTTGAAGAAGCTATCCGTTTTGCTCTCAACATGCCACCCTGTGGTCATTTAACATTGCCGAAAAAGCTGATGACTTTCAGAGTAAAATGAGCCACCCTATCAATCACAGCACTGTCTTATGAAAACAACAGCCTATACCCGTTTGACAAAACAAACATCAAGAGACGCATTTAAAAGATGTACTAGCTGCAATATTGCACACTGCCGTGAAACATTCCTCTGAATGTAGCCCCGAAACTCTTGAAAACTAAAAAAAAGAAGGTGATGGGTGTGTGAATGGCAATTCACCAAATGCAAGTGGAGTTATGTTGGAATACTGTTCAAATAGTTATAAAAATGCCATTTTGCCCATTTCTACAATGTGGTCGCACCATAATAGTGTTCACAGCATAATCAAGTTTGACATCACACCTCAAGCTACGGAATGCGGTTTATGAAAAACACGAAAGAAGAAGTAAAATTAACACATGCAACTTTAATGTGGCTCAAGCACGAATGAGATTCACTGAGCGTATGTGTACATACATTATTAAAATGATATTTCGTAAGAAAGTCTTACGGAAATAACACAAAATCAACAAGAGCATAATTTTTTTCTTGTAGCTGGTACACATATGCCATAATAAAAGTCAAATAATGAAGCAAATTGTAGTAAGTACAAAAAAATGGAAAAAAAATTTGGAGAAAAAAAAAAGGACATATATCCATGCCTGAAAATACTCTACTACGCAGTTCATGCCTGACTGCACACAGTTAATAATAAAAATGTTAGAAAACCATTTGAATAATATCCACACCTGCTGCAGTGACTGTTCAGTTGAAAGATTAAGTCACACAGCAAAATTTGATTCTTTATCCAAAACTCCCCAACATGCACAAGCGCTTAGAAAGAGAAATCCTGATGACATTCAAATTTTCATGAAAGCAATCCGGGTTTACGTGTGTTATAGCTTTGCATCAGTATATAATTAGGTACTACTCCTAACCAAAACTGAAAACTGTTTGGCTCAGCTCGTTACCAAACTGGTACTAAGTGCATTGAATTTTTGGTGTGATTTAAGCATGCTAAGGTGTGGCAGATTCTGCAGTACACAATGTGACGCAACAATGGCACAGTTTCAGGTGCCTTGTTGCCATGCAACTGCTCTCGGGAACTAGACAGGATAGAATAGAACTAGGCTGCAGAGGAGAGAACTAGACTGCTTTTGAGAACTACATTTATCGTCACATTGGATTACAAAGAATAGAACTAGACAGTATAGAATATAACGAGACTGGAAAGGATCAGACGCTTTCTTGCCATAAAAGTGCTCTTGAAAACCTGACTGTATAGAATGGAACTAGACTCGAACTAGGCTGCTTTTGGGAAGTAGGTGGCTTGTCAGACTATAGTGTAAAGAACTAGACTGCATGGAACAGAACTAAACTGGAAAGGACAGAACAAGACTGCTCATCAGACTACAGTTAGACTGCGTAGAATAGAACTAGACTGTAGGAATGTATATAAGTACCTGAGGGCTGTGTTGTGACGGTGGCATGCGCGAGTAGAGGGTAGCTCGTTGTAGGAGCTCGGCTACTTCATCGCTTGCCGAATGATTGACACCAAGCTGCTCTCCATTGAGGGAGAAAGAAAAGAAAAAAAGAAAAACAGGCATTTATCATGACACTACGCGGTAAAGACTATAACAACCGTGTTGATAGTAACACGAATAAAAAATACTTTTATTAGACTATAACATCTAATATTAATTATGAGCATGTTAGTTGCCCATTATCCATCAGTTTTTCATATTCATAGAACGCGGGCACGTCAGCCTTAAAAACACTGAATAATTGATCTCCTTTATCTTTCAGTAATGCCATCTTTTCCCCTTTTCATAAGTTCTTTTATTCTTGACTTAGTCAAGACCATTTTAAAAGAAATATAGTTTCTTAGTGCACAAAAGGTTGCAGAAAGAAGTTAGATAGGACAGTATATTTCTTTTAAAATTCAATACCAACCAGCCCAAGAAGCCATTCTCTTTTAGTCAAGAGCTTTGCATCAACCATCACGCTTGCATATCTCATCAGACTGGTCGTGCATTTTTGCCTTCGATCTTTTCACCACGCATAATCACCTCTTATCACATACCTGCAATTCGACCTTCACCAGCAAATGTAAATGCCAATTATTTTGCGCAATACAGTTCCGTGCAAATTTATTCATTCAAATACCCAACTCATTTTCAGTACCACGCTATGAGTTCTTTGAGGTGAACACAATGAAGTAAAGTGGTAATTATAAATAAAGAATAAATTTCGAACTTGTTAAGAATTGCAACAACGAAAAAATGCGGGGAACTCCTGTACATAATAAACAAGCAAAAGATTCAAATTGGAGGTTATAGTACAACGTAAATGAGACAACCGTCACATTAAAGAGAAAAACACATTGGCAGTGGAGGTTGCAGCAATGCTATGCAGAAGGCATCTCTTGCTATATCTGTTCCGCACTTGTGCTCCTTTACGTGCTTAGTTTACTAATTCTTTTTCTTCATATAACATTCAAAAGAGATTCACAGCACAAGAAGCACGCATAAACAACATCAGTAAACAACTGTCTTTGCAGGTTGCCCCAATGTACATATAGCCGCTGATGTGGCGGGCATCAAGTACACAACATCGTGCGGAGTATCAATCAGCACCAAACAACTTCGATTTCCGAAGGTGCTATGGAGGCAGCACAATAACCTATGCGCAATGCTGCTATGCTCAGTTAAAAATCTTGGTGGCTTCGCACTAGCGGCACCCAGCTTGAGAGAAGTCCGGAGCTTGGCAGCCTTATTTGTTTCTCTTTCTTTCCTCCTGCCCATTCTCTTTCCCTTTTCTAGTTCTTTTTTTTCTCTCTCCTTTTCCGCTCTTCATTTCTTACATCTCTTCGTACATTTGTGTTGCTGGTTTTAGGCCGTCGAAATTTGGACGACCCCGGTGAATTGCATCATGGATTCTGACTTGCGTGTTGAGCCAAACGTAATGCTATTTCCGCTAATAGTGACGAATCTTTAACTCTTAACATGTGTCACATTTGCAATAGCTGAAAAAATGAATAATTACTAACGGCCCAAGCAGAAACTTGAGCACAAACCAACTATACCATGATGGTCTTTAACAGGTGGCCCTACTGCGAGTGAAGGACAGGTGTGCTGTGGTTTTATGGGTAGAGATTACATTTTCTACGTGCGGAGCATCTTAGGAACCCAGGCTGCAGTATACCGTCATTGTAATGGTGTCATAGCTTTGCGTAACGCAGGCAAAACCCCAAATAGCACCGCCATCTGTAGCATATTCAACGCGTGCTCGTGCCAAGGACAAGTCTTCTTCCTTTGGTTCTTCGAGTGCCTTGATGATGACATCAAGTACGGAGCACTTTAGGGGCTTGGACTGTCATATACTGACATTGTTTGTCTAACACAGGCAAAACCATGTACAAAAACAAAAAAGAGCATGCAAGTGCAAGATATAAAGAAAGATAAAAATAGAAAGAAAAAAATGGATAGAGAGAGAGAGGGAGAGGAAGAAATAAAATAGAAATAAAGAGAGAAAAAAAGACTGAAAGAAACTAGAAAAGAGAATGAGATTGTAAGAAAAAGCGAAGAGAAACAAACAAAAAAAAAAAAAAGGCAGCCCAGTTCTGTATTTTCTTCAGGCTCGGAACCCCTAGTGCGAAGCTGGGATAACTTTTCTTAGGTTGCAACAGGTCGTATCAAGCATTCAAATAAAACGTGGCTCAACTTTCAAGCTTGGCCAGTGGGCTCACCTGTGCCTGCAGCCCATGGTAGATGACGCCCAGGTGACCGGCTTCCTTCAGAACGCCCACCACAATGGAACTGTTCACCGTAGCGTTTGGGGACATCAGTCGATCCAACTGAGGAAGAGAGAGACATTGACGCACTAAACGTAAGCAGCACTTACCTTTAGTCAACACTGCCAAGGTTTGGGTATGCTATCAGATTGCATGTATTGTTACAAGCAGGAATTGCCTAAAAAAAATGTGGCACACAGAAACTGCGATGTAGCCGCCATGAAATCAGCACACTGCAAACATCACTAATTTTGGCAAACATAAAAACTAGAGGTTGCTCCAATAGTGGTGGCATCTTCTAATAAATCTACATATGAACGAGCATGAAAAAATGGGCTTAGCATATTGAAATGAACACAGAATGTTTCCAATTTTTAACAGAAGTGAGAAAAGGGCATAAAAACTTGGACTTAAAAAAATAAGTACAACAGGAGCTAGAACGTAACTGCTCCTTGTTAAGTGTGACTTGATTCACAAGTAAAAAGAGATGTCCGAGTCAAGTCAGAACATTAGAGGTGATAACTCACGGCTAGGCTGAGGTTCTTGGGTGACAGGTCAGCCGGGCAGGTGTGGGTGCAGTTGAGCACTCCTTCCAGCTGCGTCTGCAGATGATAGAGAGAGATAAAAAACAAACTCAGCATCTCGCGAGACATTACTGCACACGAAACGGGAGTGGCCAGAAAATAACAGTGCAGCAATATAAACAGGGGTGCATGAAAATTATACCAGCAATTGAAGAGAGGATTATCAGTTATTATCAGCAATTAAAGGGAGGATTATCAGTTATCAGCAATTAAAGGGAGGATTATCAGTTAGCTTTAAAGTGTGCTTTGCTTTGTGTAAAATAAGGCGATTTGCTGGTACCTAGTTAAGCGGTGCGGGCACTGAGAAACGCCGATGCTTTCATGACGAGCGTACTGCATGTTTTATTTGGCGACAACTCAGGTGTGCCATGGCGTGACTCATCGTGAGCAGGACTGACATCATTCAGTGAGCCCGTAGAGTGTGCGTTGCTTGCAAAATGCTTGTCTTCGCGTAGTTGAATGAACCGGCTACCAGCTGCACCCGTGCACGGTCACGAGTTATGGTGTCTACCCGAGTGACGCAGGCCCAAAGAACGCACAAATGTGTGCATATGGAATATAGCAAATGGCTCCCGCAGTGACGGCATGAGCGGGAATGACGACACACTGCAAGCAACTAGTCAGGGATGATCGGCTCAACGTGACAGTAACACGCTTCAGTAAAACGCTGTCACTTTATTGCAAAGGCGGTGTAAATTGCTTGTGAGCACAGAACGAGCATTTCTTCACCATACAAAATGGCTTAACTTGTAAACGAAAGGTTTTTAACATCATCCAATAAAATGCACAGGAAAGAGAGATGAAACAGTCAGATGATCCCTTAAGTGCACTTCTTCAAGGGTGAGTAAATTTACAACAAACTACAGATATAATGACCATGTTTCACAACACTTTCGAGTTCATTATAAACAGGCTTGACTGTATACCTGCACAGAAGCTCATAACGATTTGCTGCAATTTGACACGGAAGGATATATTTTAGAAATATTACTGCGACAAAAGTACTTGACAAAGGTGGGAAATGACAAAGGCACAGCGACACACTGCAACATAGCAGGTAAATATGACAAAGGCATAACATCAAATGTTGTTGCATGGCAATATACTGGTACATTTCTTCCTCTCAAGTTTGTTAATGCCCCGCTACACTGCGCAAACTGCGCTTGTAGCGGGGCGCTACACTAAACTGCGCTACACTGCGCAAACTGCGCCTTGCGCAAACTGCGCCGACTGAACCAAGAACTATCGAGACAATCGTAGAACCTTCCGATGCGATTACGTGCACAACGCAAACGTTACAGCTTTTTCTAGAACTTACACGGCTGCTAGGGATAACCTGGAGCACTCGACGGCACATGTGTAAATGCAGGCGTGCTTAACCACTTGTCAGTTCGTCAATGACCGACGCACTGTGCGTCGATAACAGTGTACGGCCTACCCAACTTTTAATCTCATGGCCACAAGTTCGGCCAAATAAAGTGCTTCACCTTCAAGAAACCTACTGCTTTCTCCGTACACATCACAACCACGTGACAATATGAAAGGGAAGGGCTTTCACATGAGCCAACAAGGTTTTACACGAGTCCACAACTGAGCAGACTCACCTGCTGCCTCAGCAGAATGTCGGTGTGATTCTCGGTGGTGGTGTGCACTTCCTTGAGACTGGACTCGAGGCCCACTAGCCTCTGGTCGACGACGGTTCGCACCTCTCCCAGGCACTGCTGCACACTCTGTGAGATGACAGGAGAGGCCAGGTTTTATTGACAGATTTCATGCTATGATAGATGGCACAGAAAAAGTTGGTCAAGATGGCTCCAGTATAACAACGTTAGAGTCATCTGCCCTAAAGCCAGTGTTAAATGCGATATGCAACAAAAACACAGAAGAGCTGGCAAGTACAAAAAAAAAGAGGGAATTATCTGATGTCTTGCTGTATTACACATACACAACTAATGAAACTGACAAAGTTAAGCACACGAGACATTACCGTATTTACTCGCGTTACCCTCGCACTCGCATAATTCTCACACCCCCCCGCAGGGCTCAGCAACAATACGATTTTTTTTTCCCACGAGTAATTATCGCACATCCAAAAATTGCAGCAGTAATGCCGTCTGCTCCTTCCAACCCACTAATGATGGAAGCATATGACAACCTGGAGCCATCTCTTAAGCATCATGTGTACTATCAAAGCACAGAGCCCCAATCTAATCCAAGCCAAGCCAAAGTGGCAGATGCATGCTGCTTAGAGTACGTTGCGTCTGTTTGTGGTCACGCTACGGGGCGATACAGAAGTCACAGGGCTGCTTTCCAGTGATTGATCATGCACGAAGCCGCCTTCCCCTCCTAACCAAGTGCCCCTCCCGATCACGCGTGGCAAATGTAATCGTTGATGTGCTGTCCGAAACAACATCTACAGCCGATCACTGAGGCTCTGTTAACTCTGTGCTTGTTGGCTAATCGCTGTTACCGTGCTGGTCTGTGCTGTGATGAATCGTTCTGGCATGGACCCTGTGTTGTGTGCATGCCTTCGAAGAATTGCCAACACGATGAATCCATATCGTGGCATGCCATGCCAGTGTACCTTGCAAGATGAGAGCCCACCACCTCCACGACATGAGAACTACAACAAGGAGCATGGGCAGCTGCTTGCAGACTAATCAGAAGTCGCGGGTTCTTTTTCGACCAATTGCAACACGACTTGCACTCTGTGTTACATATTACACTTTGTGACAACACACATGACACTTCAAAGGCCAAAAGGGCCAAGATGGAAGGAGAACTCGTTTCTTAGAGTTTTTGGAACCCGCTGCATTTAGCGCTTCCATGTGTGGCATCGTTGATCGTGATTGCCTTCTGCACACGATGCGCATGTTTACTTGAAGCGTTTAAAAAATATCGGAGGAGGTTTAGGAGCACTTTACACTTTATAGATATTCTTGCGAAACCTAGTATGTGGCAAGCTGGTGATGATATTAGCAGGTGTATACTTATTTATTTTCATTTATTTTATTTATTTATTTGATACTGTTAACCTCCTGTTTGGGGTCATTACAGGAAGTGTGCCACATAATACATACTATTCACACAATAAAGCAGTATTCAATAGCACATAGGAATAACAGATGAGTAATCAGCATCAGGAAAAAAAGAAACAAACAACAGTGACTATGCCGATTAAAAATCGAGAAACTAATGCTGGCACCACAAGTTAGCGATTATCAATGCAGAGAAAGCTGTCTAACACGTCTTTAAAGTTGACTGACGTCGTCTGTTGAAGAAACAGATCAGGTAAGCTATTCCACATTTATATTGTGTCTGGAAAAAAAGGAGTGAAGGAAAGCATTCGTGCATGTGAAATAGGGTCGAATAGCTCTGCCATTACTCAAACAATCACATCACCTTCCACGTGGCTGAAGATATAAATCCCTGTTTATTTTTGTTTGCCCAATTATAATCTTATAAAAGAACTGGAGGCCTTGTCTGCGTCTATGATACTCCAAATACTCATGCTCACAGGACTCTTGCAGGGCCGTGACGGAGTGTGTGCGTCGGTATTTACAACATACGAAATGGACTACTAATTTTTGTATTCTCTAGATTTTAGTCCTCAGAACCCTCTGGTGAGGTGACCAGAATAATACTAGCGTACACTATTAATGCCTAAAGCAAAGGTTACCAAAATCAGAGATAGACCGAGAGAGCCTGACCTGTTCCAAATCATGCAAACTGGTGTGCGTCGCACTCTGATCGTCCACGGCAACTGCAGAAGCGTTGCTGATCCTCTGGACTTGCTCCTATTAAGAAAAAGGAAGAAGTATGTGGCGGCTGGTGCACATGGGTATGCCATTTCGCACAAATACTTGCAGTATGAAATTATAGATATGCAAACATTGACAGAAGCACGACAAAAGCAAAAAGTCGATCATAAAAAAAAGTTAATGCAAAATCTCCTTTGGGAGTTGCCCCAGGGATTAAAGTTGTTATTGTAGGGCAGCGGTCATGTCTGTAATGTCATTTTGAACATCACCGTGATGCCATTAGTCTCTCTAGCACTCATCAGTGTCAGAAATGCTGCCCCACGGCAAGCGTATAGTGCGACCGCTAACCCCCAAAATGCGTGCCCATCATAAAATTCTTGCAGTTTGAGGTTTCCTGATGTGTGCAGGCTTACCTGCTGGCTTTGCGCGTTGTCTAGCAGAGGGCTTTCATTCCACTTAAGAAAATTTCAACAGAGCCTTGATAGAGTGTTTTGTGTGGCACATAAAGCGCATTTACTCTCGTAATCCTTCCACTCACATAATTCTGGCAGCCCCCGAATCGCCTGACAAAAATTCAATTTTTATGTTTGACGAGTAATTATCGTACCCCCGAAAATTGCAGCAGTTATGTCATATGCTTTTTCCAATCACTGATAACGCACGACAGAATCGCACCATGTCTTCAGCATCATGCATACTATCAACGCACAGAACCCCAATTGAATGCAAGCCGAGCCAAAGGGGCAAGCATGCGTTGTGACGTGTTAGTGATAGTTCAAGCAGCACACGTTATTGCGTCCATTCTGTGGTTATGCGATGGGTCGATATGGAAGCTACAGGGCTGCTTTCAATTTGAGAAACTGATTGATCATGCATAAAACGGCAACGGGGCCACCGGCAAGAACTTTGGAGTCGACGAGTTTTACATTCACTACTGGCGACGGCGGCACGAAAAGCTGAAAGCCACCAACCAGACGCATTGGGTCTTCCGTGGGCTTAAGATTGGGAAATATTCACAGGTTAAGGCGGCCCTCTTAATTATGTCAAGGGTCTCTAGACGAAGACCCTTGAGACAGTGGCTTTAGCGTCCGCAAACAAATCTTGATTTCTATTAAACCTGCGGTTTTATTGTTAAAGTAAGTTTCGATCAGTACTTCTCAAAGCACGCAGTTAGCTGCTGGTGTGAGAAAACCAATTTGCAGCCACTTCATTTTCTTTTTCACTCTGTACGTTTTCGCGGAAAATTTTCCCCGCATAATTATCGCACCCCCAAACTTTTCATCAGGTTCTACAAAAAAACAAACAAGAAAACTGCGAGGAGTATGCAGGCAAATCCAGTAATGCATTCATGTAGGTCCCATATGTTCATATTTTGCAAACGTGAATGTGTAGCACAGCAGTTGAGAGACTTGCCCAGAATAGTGAGAGCCCGGCTTAAAATGTAAGCACTGGAGTAAAAACTTATTTCTTTATGTTCATTAATTTCTTAGTGATCATCTTTGTGACAGACAGACGGACAGACAGCTTATTTGTCGAGCGGGTGTAAAAATGCTCACGCATTTTAAAAATCACGATTGTACTGCATAATGCATAAAGAGATGGGAAATGCAGCCAAGAGTGGCAGTGAGTTACAAGGAGCGACGAAATTAAGAAGTTCATGAAACCAGCTCGCACAAGACTGGTGGCAATGAGACAGGGGCACTTCAGCTCAACGCCTTCGTCATTTTGAAGCTAAACCTGCTGTACACTTATCATCTCTAAGGCAAACTTCTAAACAGCTGTGCAAGAGTCACGCACGCGCTAATAACACCTGAAAGGCCTGCGCCACTGCTACCACGACACACATTCCCCTGTAGTACGCTGTTTTCAGTGCAATGTTTTGAAGTTTAGTGCTCCAGCCACGAGACCGTGAATGCAACAGATGAAGCAGTGCAGATGCGAGGCCTGAGTATGAGCCTTCCTTTTGCTAGCTGATGGCATTAAGCTGTTCTTGGGCTGGGCCTGCCAACACATAGGGTTTCTGCATCACATGTCGCACTTAAATTTCCTTACACACCCATTAAAAGACCCCTGCAAGGAAAACTTTTGTTTGCAACTTTTTTTACAGTGATTTGTAGCTTTGTGTATGGTAATGTTCAAATTAAACCGTAAATGCTCTAACGCATTGTATAATTTATGCTAGCATCGTTGATTTCGAACAAATTTGCATCAGTTCGAAACACCCACCTAAATACCATAAGAAAGTAGCGCCCCACAGCGGGGCAGTTCCTGAGACTATGTGTGCTCAAGCGTCGATGACGCTGAACGCGCTGTTTTTAAATAGAGGGACCCGTGGGTGGTGAAGAATAAAACAATGTGGCTGCTTTGAGCGTCTCCCCCTGAGAAAAAAGAAAAGTAATCCTGGCTTAAGCAGCTAAAGCTACCTGTCTGACAACCCAGCAAGAAGGGTGATGAACAACAGTCCTCGCCGGGTGCCAGTCAGGGTGGAAGAGAGTCTTGAACGTGAATAGGGTCCAAAGTCCCTGTAGCAGAGGTGACGGTGACAGGGGCATGCATCCAAACATTCTTCCCCATGTATCTTTACTCCATACTGTACAAATAACACAATCACATACATCCCCACAAAGTCACAAAACGTGTAAAAAAAAGGCGGGAAATCATAGAGGAAAAACAGGAGAACCTGAGCGCTTCTGTTTCTGGAGATTTCACACCGGGTGGAACTGGAAGTTTTTTTTTGTTTGTTTCTGCTTTGCAGCTTGGTTTCTTCAGCCTGACATTATCACTTCGCTCCCCACCCCAATCCAATAAAAATAACAAAGGGCCACTGACCTTGACCTGGTCAACGTCCTTGCGCAGTACCTGCAGGCTGTTGTGTTGCTCCTTGAGGGCCTGAAGGCCATTCTCCAAACTGGACACCTGGCTGCCCAAGTTGGCCACATTCTGCATGCAACAAACACAGGGGAGGGGGGGCAACGCCTTGCCTCAGCCTCGGTCCAGGTTGAGTGTGTCGGCGCAATACATGAGAACCGCAACAGAGTTGGATGCACGTACACAGACAATATGACAATGACCCAAGTGTAAAGATTGAATTCAACAATACTTTCGTGACAGACACATTTGCTAGTTGCTAGCGTCTAGTTGTGGAAATTGACATAAAGTGATTGACTATTGTTTGACTAATCTGATAGACATAGTGAACACTTTTTTTTTGTGACAGAATTGGAGCCCATTCATGCAAGCCCCAGAAATACCGACTGAGTGCCTGCCTCAATTGCTGCTACTGAGTTGCAACAAGGTAACTGCGCATAGGTGGTGCTTGAAATACAATGGTCACCACAATATTCCAGCTCCTGCACTTGGTTTAGGCTCATGCTAACAGCAAGAGCTTAGACATTCAGGTCGGTCTTTACTGCTGAGAGGGAGTCACAGCTAGAAATGGATCTTAACACAAGGTACTTTTCTAGCTTCACAAGAGCTTCTCTTGAAGAAAGTAGCCAAGTCGTCCCTGAAATAATGCAACTTCATTAATGCACATAGGAGCTATTGCTCTCTCTAAGTCAATCAGATTGCTATCATAAGTATATTATGCAAGTTTCTGTCAAGTGTCTCGTGTTTAGGGCTTTTCTCTGGGTTTAGTTTCCACACAAAGCGAATATGCATTTACAAAAGAACCTCGCTGATACATTTTCAAAAAAGCATAGGAAAAATAGCACTATTCGGGAAAACGTATGATTGGAATGCAGTAAAATTTAAGGCTCACAAGCACCTATTGAGGAGCAAGAGCAACAAAAGATTTATTTCTCACAAAAAAAAACGTAGTAGGCCTCTTCAGTTTTCCAACATCTGGCTTCTTGCTGGAGGTAAGCCAGCTAGTTCCGGTCCTGACAAGCAACAACGTCGTGGTCCCGTGCGTTGAAAGACCAAGACCAATAGAAATATTGCAAAATCAAATTCTGGAACAACCAGCATTACCTAAAGAAACGCTACAACCGTGGCATCAAACGAAACATTGTACCATGTGAGTGCCGGTTTTTTTCACATTGCCGCTTGGAAATATGGGGCTAGGTTTGTCGAATAGCAGGAGTCGTATTCTAGATCATACGTATTTGGGATACGATTGCGTATGTTTGCAAGTTAACGTGTGACTCGCCCCATTCGTGAAGAAAACTGCTGCCCCACTAACGGCTTAAAAAACTCAACTCTGCACATGATGCACTACAGTTGTGGAACAACACAACATGCAAAATCTAGTGAGTGATAAGCGTTCCAAAAGGCGACAGCTGCTCATGACTATTGCGTATCATTTCAATCATGTGCGCTGATCAGTTTGCACTCTGTTTTAACTTTAGAACATATTACACACAGCTCTACTGGGTTATCTTTAGGTTTTCTGATTTCAGGCATAGGAGCCAGGAAATCATACTAGGTGGGAACGTGTCAATGATGTTCAACTAGATAGAGTAAAAGACAGCTGCACATTTGTTTCACCTTATTGATCATAATTATAAATTAATTACAACGTTCCTGCATGTCTACTACAACACTAAATCTTGTGCCTTGTAAAGAACAGGAGGTCACCTAATCGCGTTGTGTATTGTGCCCGGCCAACCTTTTGATGCACATGGCTATTCTGGTTGATAGGATCAACGGCTCCGACTACTCCAGTGCTGAGCAGGTTTGCCTATGTGGAGGTGCTTACTTTTCTACACTGCTGATGAAAATTCTGTAAACAGCTGGTGTGTGCTGAAGCCGACATTTTGACAAATAGACTTGTCTTCAAGGCTGCAACAGTTGCCGCATTAAAGAAAAGTCCGCTTCTAGAAATGTCAGCTTCGTTGCACACGGATTTTTTTGTCATTGCAAGTATTCATCTTCCCTTCCAGCCACTATTTCTTTTTATTACTCCTATACTTAGTACACTGAATACAAAGAAGCTGTAATTTGCCCAAAGCACCTGCTTGAGGTCGGTAACGGCACTGGGGAGCCCCTTGATCTGAGGCGCCGAAGCCACGCTCTCTTGCAAGCTGCCTGTTGTTGCCTTGAGATCAGCCACCTGTGGACAACACCAGAGGTCAGGATAGCTCAACAGACAGCTTTAGTGCCCTGTACACCACGAGCAACGTTCACTCATAGTTAAAGGAGCCCTTAGAAATGTACAGTTTTGAGCAAAAAAGAGAGAAAGAGAGAGAGAGAGGTTTATTGAGCCCGTACATATATAAAAATACACTGTAAAAAAAACTAATTTCAGAGCAAAACAAGCCCTAGAAGTCACCAGCCATAGACCCTGCCCATCGCCGGTGGCCGGCATGGCATGTGTGACATCATGCGCTACATGTGGCGGAGAGTTTCTGGTGCTGCACATATTCAGTTTCTATGTTTCAAGCTAAAGAGGGCTGCAATTTCTAGACTGCATGCGTAGTTGACCACTAAACAAAATCATTCACTGGAAAGCAGACGCTCACACGGCAAGCAGCTTCTACCTTTCGGTTTGCCGATATGCCAAGGTTGCTCGACTCTCAGGCCGCTCACATGCTTATGAAAAGATTTCAATTACAAATGAATTGCTTGACCATATGCTCTAAAACTCCGACAGCTTGTTTGTCAATGTGCAAGGATTTATTCACATGACATGGATTATGACCGAAAATAGGGTGGCATGGCACTTTTAACGAGTTTATTAACTGTATCGCTTCTGAACCATCACATACAAGGCACAACTAAGCACTATACAACCAAGTAAGGTGCTGAATGATATGCCGCCAAGAAAACGAGTAAACAAAACATTCAGTCCCGAACTGCCAGCTAAGGAGTAGTCTAAAAAGCTAAGCTGAGTGGTAAGGATGAAAACATCTTAAATCAAATAGGAGTGCTGATTAAACATAGTCATTTGGCCTTTCTAACGATGGTGTGTGCTGGAGCTTTATTTCGTCATTGTGCACTAAAGGTGGCACACTATATTTAGTTTCATTTCAAATGGTGAGGGCATAGAAGCTTCATAATAAGTTCGACATTCTAACTATAGTCAATGATTGTGTGTTTCTATCAATGAGACAACAAATTATTTTTAATGTAAACGTAAAAAGAAAAAAAGCCCCAGTGTCACATTTAGAGCACAAGCAAAAGCTTCCGTACAATAAAAAAGGGAACAAGGTGAGAAATGTGTGACACCTGTACAGTCGACTGTGATGGTGCACAGAGGAATATTCCACAGAAACCTCAGGAGTGCATGCACATTTTTCGCGATAACGAAATTAGCGGCACATTGAAGTTTACAGATCATACTTCCTTCTGCACAGACAAGCCTTAATATCGTCAAACAGCTGCGCTTTTCAACTTAGCCACAGCTCTGTTTTCTTTCTGCTAGGTCCCAGCTATGAACAGGGATGGCATACCCGGTGACAAAGTACCACACCTATGCTAACCCTTTAACACGACTGTTTCTTGCACATGTCACAGGGATTCAAAGGCAAACATTTTTCCACAAAACATCGTTGCAAATGTTCTCTGTTAAAATTCCAGTTTCCCGCGTAGAATTTCTGGAAATAAATTTAGCATAGTCCCAGAAAGACAAACAAGAGGGGAAGGGGGTGCTGTAGATAATGCCACAATCTCTCCTCAAGTTTTGTTATCGCCCCATATCACTGTCACTAATTCTCATCGCAAACCGCGCCTACAATGTTCGAGAAGCTTCAGAACTGCAGTAGATCGTTTTGTTAAGATTAGGCCCACTTTGGGAACATTACAGATTATTCTGGAACCTATGGCGCCACTAATGATAACGCTAGAATATTTGATGGCAAGTGTATAACTGCTGACACACTTCGCCGCTTGTCATTTGATCGCCGGCTGATGCTCTGTTTGCCGCTATCAGTGCCCATGTGTTGCTGTAATCTGACTTTCAGTTTCATGGCCACAAGTTTGGCCGAATAAACAGTCTTATCTGAACACAGAGTTTGCTGCCTTGGTCCACATCCTGACCTCGTGACAATAGACTTTTGCGGAAATACAGAAAACCCTTTTAGGTAAATTTGACAAAAATTCTGTAAAGGTGTGACACATTGATTGATTGATATGTGGGGTTTAACGTCCCAAAACCACTATATGATTATGAGAGACGCCGTAGTGGAGGGCTCCGGAAATTTAGACCACCTGGGGTTCTTTAACGTGCACCCAAATCTGAGCACACGGGCCTACAACATTTCCGCCTCCATCGGAAATGCAGCCGCCACAGCCGGGATTCGAACCCGCGGCCTGCGGCTCAGCAGCCGAGTACCTTAGCCACTAGACCACCGCGGCGGGGCAAAAGGTGTGACACAGATTAATAAAAACATAGCGTTCAACGGCATTGTCATGCACATGTTGCAGTTGATAATTAGGTTTCCTGCAGCCTCATTAAAAGATTAAAGAAAAGACATGCATATAATTAAGATGATGATCATAGCAGTCAAGAACTTCTCTCAGGAGCAACAGGGTCTTTGCAAAGCTCTGGTAAAACAGCAACAAAAGAGTGTAACGTGCACCGACCTGCTTCGCTAGTGCCACAAGATCCGCTGCAGTTCGGTGCAGCTCGGCGGTTGTGCTGCTCAGGTTTTGCTCGAGGCCCTTGATCTGGGCATGGAGGTCGTGCAGCTGCGCGGGCAGTTTCTTGCCATCCACGTCCACTGCACGCAAGTTGTCACACTGAGCACAGTCGATTGCAGGATGTGGGAAGCTCCAAGCAGAATACGCAGGAAGTTCCACATTCCATCATTTTCGCGTGGATGCAATGTTTAATGCCAACACTGTTACAAAGAGTAAAAGACCAATAATGCTCATTGGGCCTAAGCACATGCTTTGCACATAAACTACACTGCTTAACAATGTCATGACTGGCAATGAAGTGGTGATGCTACAAGGAAAATGTGCAAAAATTACTAGCACTAAGGATGCACCAGACGAAACAACTAAGGGTCCGTAATCAGTAACAAGCCTACTATCAGTGTTTAAAAATATCTCACAAATGACACACAAAAAGGAAAAGTTATTTTGCTTCCGTTGGTTTCATCGACGTTCACTGCAGCTTTGTCTTCAAAGAAGGACTCTCTTCATCCTGTGTACTATCCCACATTGTTAATGAGAAAAGACGTAAATGTTGCAGCTAGCTGGAAGCCTAGTATCTGTTGTGTGTTGATTGTCTTGTGTTCTTAGTAATATCCGTGCTTTTACTGTGTTACACATAAATTATATCATATTGTATTTATCAAAATGCTACACCACACATCCATTCCATGTTTCCTGGCCAAGCATATTCATGCCGATATGGGTGTGTGCAGCCCATGATAAAACAATGAGAGAGTGCTGTGGTTTCGAAATGGTACATCGGCCCAGTGAACCAAGCACGTAACGACAGAAGTCACAAACCAGCCAGCTGCGCGGGTCGCTACAGTGCCTGTAGCGGGACCGTGGTCAACATAACAGAGCAGTCAGGCAGGCAACAGACGTTACAGTCTAATACATCAGACTTCAAAAGTAGCAGGACGTCCGCTTCTTTATACACTGGCCAACATAGTCAACAGCGCATTACCGATTCATTTTGACGTAGAAGTGAGTGAATCCGTTTGGCACATTCGCTCAGGAAAAGTACAACAGTATGCAACGTACGCAACGGACGATGATGTTTGGAGGCAGAGAGTGCACAAGGACTGACGCACTACAAGGATCCTTGAAGAAGTGGCTTTATCCATTCCACCGCATCACACTGTTCACTTATCTTTTCACTTATCTTCATAGTGTCCACGTGTGCGAGTGAAAAGGTACATGAGCGAACAGATCACAAGCAATGGTAGTACTTAAAAGTGTGACGCATTTGTGCTTACCAAGGAACCACGCTTATTTGAAGACTTGGGACATTTGTCATTACAGTCAATTGTTTTTGCAAGAAAAAAAAAAATAAGGGACAAGCAAACCTCGACATGGCTCCAGTTAAGCTCGAACCTCATTATTACAAAGTTGCATCGTACACGAAAATAAGCTAGTTATATCCGAAACTTTGCTATAAAGGTTTATTCCTAACACTATATTTATGGCAAGACTATTTTTCTTTGAATTAGTTATAACCTGTATTTCGTTATGTCAGGGTTCGTTATATTGAGGAATCGGTGAACATCATAAACGTGAATGCATTTCATGGTGCCTTCAAGCTGGTTTCACCACAACATGAAACTCAACGGGGAGAAGCCCACTACTACAAAACGGCTCACATATTGATGGCCTTTAGACACGCCCATAAACTGACAGTGTTGCTTTTGACAGTGATCAGTACAATTAGAAACCAATGAAATCACATCTGTTAACTGAAAAGTTTGTCTAGGCTCACTATATTTAAGGTAAGCGCCCTGATGGACGGTCAATACACCGGGCATCAGCACATGCCAAAAGAATGCGTTGCTTCATTGCACAACACGCATTTCCTCTGCTACATGCTAATTGCTTGACTACTAGAATGCACCGTTAGTTAACTGATGGATTGATTTATTGTAAAAGAAAGGGCATATACTTGTATCAGGACGTACTCCTCAATCTTTCTTCTCGTATCCCACAGTAGCAGATGAAGTTAACAATATTATCTCATCATCAAAGAATACTGGCCCAGGGCTTGATCAAATCTGCTCTTCTAAAATTAAACTTGTATCAAAAGAACTTTCCCCATTCTTAGCCTATTTAATCAATAAGCTTTTCGTGGCTGCTGTGTTTCCTAAAGGCCTTAAAGTAGGGAAAATTATCCCCATTTTTAAGAAAGATGATCGTGAATGCTGTAACAACTATCGCCCGATTTGCATTTTACCTTTCTTTAGTAAAGTCATTGAAAAGCTAATTTGCAACCATTTAATGAAATACCTATCTAAATTCAACATATTATCTGATCACCAATTTGGCTTTCGTCCAGGTCTTTCGACTGAAGTTGCACTAATAGCTTTCACTGACAGGATTAAATTGACAATTGATGAAGGTCTTCTTTTTGGAGCGGTATTTATTGATTTTACTAAAGCTTTCAATACAATTAACCACGCCATCCTATTTCATAAGCTTGACTGTTACGGCATATCTGGACCACCCCTTCAGCTCATTAAAAGCTATCTTGATGATCGGACGCAGGTTGTTCAGATAAACCAGAGTTTTTCATCTCTAAAAACCCCTAACATTGGCGTTCCTCAAGGGTCAATCCTGGGACCCCTCCTGTTTTTGTTATTTATAAATGACTTACCACTTCGTATGAATCACACTAACGCTCTTTTCTACCCTGATGACACTACTATTTTCACCACACACAAGGATCCACTCATGCTGCAACAATCACTAAACGTCGACTTAAATAACATTCATTCATGGTGTGTATCGAATCTGTCACTAATCAATCCATCAAAGACTAATTTCATGGTATTCCATTCCCCGTAGTTGTTTCCAAACATAGCTTCATTAGCAGTGGCGCCTGATGGACACTTCATTCATGCATGTTCATCTACTAAATTTCTCGGTGTGGTATTAGATAAACATATGAACTTCAGCGAGCATTCGCAGGCCTTAATTCAAAAGGTGTCTTTTGGTATTCACGTGATCATCAAAACACGACCTTACTTCTCCACTGAAATCCTTTTATCTTTATATTACGCATTCATTCATAGTCACCTGTCATACTGCGTATCATCATGGGGAAATACATATTGGTCACATGTAAATCATCTAGAACGATTACAGAAGCAAGCTTTGAGACTCATTACTTTCAAACCATTTTCATCACCATCAGCCCCCCTTTTTAGCAACATGAACATTTTACCTCTGCATAAACTCTTCAGCTACAAAATTCTAATGATCATGTTTCGAATCCTTAATAATGAATTATACATTTCCAGTTTCTCAGGAGTTACTCTTGTAAATACTAACAACACGAGGTTTTCAGCTAACCGTAATCTACTTCTACCAACTATGGTCAAATGACGGCAAGATTTTCATGCATAACACTGTGGAACACGCCGCCTGTTGATCTCAAATCATGCTCAATGTACTCCTTTAGTAAGCGCTTGAAGGTCTTATTGTTAAATGACTTATGACTTGAATGTTTCCTTTTGGGTTTCTTTGTTTCAAGCACATTGTCACTATTGCTCATATGGCCCTACGCTTTTGCACCATTTTCTTTTAAATATTGCTGTGACTTCGTCGCTGTTTGCCGACTAAAAAGCTAATCCTCTTTTTACTTTTTGTTAGCAGGTCCCCCTGACAGTTTTTACTTTGGGACTTCCTATTGTTCATTCGCCATGCAAAGAATGTATTCATAAATAATGTATGTATTTTTGAATAAACAACAACAACAACAACTGACCACTTCAGGATTCCAAAAATAGCCACTCTTACTGTGAGAGGAGGGGGTCAGAGAATGAACAGTCAGAAAAAGTTGTAAAAATGAAAGACAGGTTTCAGGGTGCAATTATACCCGTGTCCGCAAGTGCGTTTATACACCACACCAGTTGGAATGTGTCCAAGTACAGAAAAGAATCAAACCCACAAACTTTATGTTCAGCAGGAATAGGAATGAGACAACTGTTCAGAGTACACAACAGGTTTCACGTTATGGCAACAAAGAGAAAATGGAGTCTTTTCTTATAAGGTTCAAGCAACTTGTGTTTGAAACAGCCAAGGCAACGAGTTTGTCTAAACTGCGCAAGCGTAAACTATAAGAAGTACATGTTCTACTTCGCACAGACTAGTCTGCAGAATGCTGGATTGAAATCTTTTCAACAAAATTTTTAAGAAAATGGTTAACATCAGGTTTGCTTAAGGAGTGGTAGAATAATTGTTCAATACGGCTTGCTTGCACAAACTCTGAGTGATTCCAGAAAAACAACTTTCAAGCTGAATCACAGGAAGGAAAATGTTGAAGGCTCCTAAGTTGCAAACGTGGCATTTTTTTTCAAGACTTGAGTAGTTACATAAAAAAAAGGTCCCATTGTATGAACACCCCTCGGAAGCAATGCATACTTTTTATTTTATGTACTTCATTTCATGTTCCAGTGCTAAGAGAGTCAACTACACAGCTATGAAACATTATTTTATATCATAAGTCATGATATATGTTTTCGTACAAGAAACACAAACACCCACGAAATCGAATGTCCCGCATACCCAATGCTCCAGAGCGTACCACTAAATTGTCATTTTGACACGTCTCCCTGAAGACGTCACTAACTATAACCTACAAAGAAGATAGGCGTGCCTCTTTCTTGTTCTCTATTTTATGCGTCCTAAAAAAGTTGTAGTATAGAAGATAGGCATGCATCAAATGAGAACAAATATACTACACCACCCTATTTTGTTCAGCACCACTTTCGCACCTGATCTTTATCCCTATTATCCAATTATGTGTGGACGATCACCTGACTAAGTAGTGCATAGATTTTGGTGAACTGTTCAAACAGGGCTGTTTGCCTTACTTTCATATGCTGTCATCACTTTGTGTTACAAATGCTATCATGAAGTTCTCAATTTCAAATTTCTTGTCAGTGCTGAAGTTTAGTGTTCCAATACCAGTGTTGTAATGTGTAGTCTAACGTGGCTCCCGCAAGAATATTTAACTAGCACACATTGCAATTTCGGATTAGCAGATCCACTGCTAATCTTAAGGTTCATC